CATCTAGGTTGCTTCCAGGATCTGGCTATTACAAATAATGCTGCTATGAACATAGTGGAACAGACATCCTTGTTGTATGAATGGGCATTTTTGAGTATATGCCTAAGAGTAAAATTTCTGGATCTTATGGTATACTGAGTCCCATTTTCCTAAGGAATCTTCATACTGATTTCCAAAAGGGATGTACAAGTTTGCACTCCTACCAGCAATGGAGGAGTGTTTCCCTTTCTCCACATCCTCTCCAGCATAAACTGTCATTGGTGTTTTTTTTTTTTATTTTAGCCATTATAACAGGAGTAAGATGATATCGCAGAGTTGTTTTGATTTGCATTTCCCTAATGGCTAAGGATGTTGAGCACTTTCTTAAGTGTCCCTCAGTCATTTTAGACTTCTCTATTGAGAATTCTCTATTTAGTTCTGTACCCCACTTTTTAATTGGATCCTTTGGTGTTTTGGAGACTTGCTTCTTGAGTGTTTGTAAATTTTGGAGATCAGCCCTCTGTCAGATGTGGGGTTGGTGAATAGCTTTTCCAATTCTGTAGGCTGCCTTTTTGTCTGGTTGACTGTGTCCTTTGTGTTACAGAAGTTTCTCAGTTTCAGGAAGCCCCATTTATTAATTGTCTATCTCAGTGTCTGTGCTACTGGTGTTATGTTCAGGAAGCAATCTCCCGTACCAATTCATTCAAGGGTACCTCCCACTTTCTCTTCTAAGAGGTTCAGTGTGGCTGGATTTACATTGAGGTCTTTGATCTATTTGGACATAAATTTTGTGCATGGAGATAGACATCAATGTATCTGCAGTCTTCTACATGCCTATATGCCAATATCCAGTTATGCCAGCACCATTTGTTGAAGATGTTTTCTTTTTTCCATTGTATAATTTAGCTTCTTTGTAAAAAACCAGGTGTTGATAGGTGTATGGATTAATATCAGGGTGTTCAATTTGATTCCATTGGTTTTCCTCTCCACTTTTGTGTCACTACTAAGCTGTTTTCAGGACTATATATAACTCTATAATAGAGCTTGAAGTCAGGGATGGTGAAGCCTCCAGATATTGCTTTGTTGAACAGGGTTGTCTTGGCTATCCTGGGTCTTTTATTTCTACATATAAAGTTGAGGATTGTTCTTTCAAGGTCTCTGAAGAACTGTACTGGAATTTTGATGGGCATTGCATTAACTCTGTAAATTGCTTTTGGCAGGATTGCCATTTTTACTACATTAATCCTACCTGTCCAAGAGCATGGGAGATCTTTCCATTTTGTGGTGTCTTCTTTAATTTCTTTCTTTAAAGACTCAGTGTTACCCCAAGGTATTTTATGCTGTTTGTGGCAATTGTAAAGGGTGATATTTCTTTGATTTCTTTCTCAGCCATTTTATCTTCTGTGTATAGTAGGGCTACTGATTTTCTTGAGTTGATCTTGTATCCTGCCACTTTGCTGAAGGTGTTTATCAGCTGTAAGAGTTCCTTGGTAGAGTTTTTTGGGTCACTTATGTAAACTATCATATCATCTGCAAATAGTGAAAGTTTTACCTCTTCCTTTCCAGTTTGTATCCCCTTGATCTCCTTCTGTTGTCTTATTGTTTTGTCTAGAACTTCAAGTACAATATTGAAGAGGTTTGGGGAGAGGGGACAGCCTTGTCTTGTTCCTGATTTTAGAGGAATTGCCTTGAGTTTCTCCGTTCAGTTTGATGTTGGCTGTTGGTTTGCTGTATATAGCTTTTATTATGTTTAGGTATGTTTCTGTTATCCAGATCTCTCCAAGACATTTATCATGAATTGGTATTAGATTTTGTCGAAAGTTTTTTCAGAATCTTGTGAGATGATCATGTGATTTTTTGTTTCTCAGTTTGTTTATATGGTGGATCACGTTGATCGATTTTTGTATGTTGAACCATCCCTGCATCCCTGGGATGAAACCTGCTTTATCATGGTGGATGTTTTTCTTATGTGTTCTTGGAATCGATTTGCCAGTATTTTATTGAGTATTTTTGCATCAAAGTTTATGAGGAATATTGGTCTGAAGTTCTCTTTCTTAGTTGTATTTTTGTGTGGCTTGGGTATCAATGTTATTGAAGACTTGGAAAAAGAGTTTGGCAAAGACCCTTCTGCTTTATTGCATGGAATTCTTTGAGGAGAATTGGTATAAGCTGTTCTTTGAATTTCTGGTAAAATTCTGCACTGAGGCCATCTGGCCCTGGGATTTTTTTGGTTGGGAGACTTGTGATGACTGCTTCTATTTCCTTAGGTGTTATAGGTCTACTTAAATTGCTTATCTGTTCTTGATTTAATTTTGATAAGTGATATCTATCCAGAAAAATGTTCATTTCCTTTAAATTTTCAAATTTTGTGGAGTATCGTTTTTCAAAATATGACCTGATCATTCTCTGGATTTTCTCACTGTCTGTTATTATGTCCCCTTTTCATTTATGATTTTGTTAATTTGCATGTTCACACTCTGTATTTGGTAAGTATGGATAAAGGTTTGTCTGTCTTGTTGATTTTCTCAAAGAACCAACTCTTTGTTATATTGATTCTTTGTGTTGTTTTGTTTCTAGTTTATTGATTTCAGCCCTCAATTTAATTATTTCCTGACATCTGCTCCTCTGGGGTGAGTTTGCTTACTTTTGTTCTAGAGCATTCAGTTGTGCTGTTAATTCTCTAGTGTGACTATTCTCCAGTTTCTTCATGTGGACACTTATTGCTATGAACTCTCCTCTAGCACTGCTTTCAAAGTATCCCATAAGTTTGGGTAGGTTGTGTCTTCATTCTCATTGAATTCTAGGAAGAACTTAATTTCTATTTTTATTTCTTCTTTGACCCAGGAGTAGTGCAATTTCACATTAGTGGTGAATTCTAACTTTCAAGTATGGTGGTCTGATAAGATACATGGAGTTATTCCAATTTTTTTGTACCTGTTAAGGTTTGCTATGTTGCCAAGTAAGTGGTCGATTTTTGAGAAAGTTCTGTATGGCGGTGAGAAAAAGTATATTCCTTTGTGTTGAATGGAATGTTCTATAGATGTCTGTTAAACCCAATTGGGTCATAACTTCTATTAGTTCCTTTGTTTCCTTGTTAAGTTTCTCTCTAGTAGTCCTGTCTAGTGGTGAGAGTGGGGTGTTGAAGTCTCCCACTGTAAGTGTGTGAGGTTTTATATGTGATTTGAGTTTTATTAATGTTTCTTTTACGAACATGGATGCCTTTGTATTTGGGGCATATATGTTCAGAATTGAGACTTCATCTTGGTAGATTTCTCTTTTTTTGAGTATGAAATGACCTCCTTCATCTCTTTTGATTGATTTTAGCTTAAAGTCTAATTTGTTAGACATTGGGATTGCTACCCCCTCTTGTTTCTTGGGTCCATTTGATTGGAAAATCTTATCCCAGCCCTTAACTCGGAAGTAACATCTGTCTTTGAAACTGAGGTATGTTTCTTGTTTACAGCAGAAGGATGGATTCTGTCTTTGAATCCATTCTGTTAGCCTGTGTCTTTTTATGGGCGAGGCAAGACCATTAATATTGAGGGATATTCATGACCACTGATTGCTCATTCTTGTTTTATTTGGAATGGTTGGTGGTGGTGGAATTGTATGTAGATTTCTACCCCTTTTTTCTTTTGGCTGTTGATAAAGTGGGATTATCTATTGCCTATGTTTTTCTGGTTGTAGTTAACTTCCTTGGGTTGTAGTTTTCCTTCTAGAATTTCCTGTAGGGCTGAGTTAGTGGCTATGTATTGTTTAAGTCTGGTTTTGTCATGAAATGTCTTGTTTTCTCCATCTATAGTGATTGAAAGCTTTGCTGGGGTATAGTAGTCTGGGCTGGCATCTGTGGTCTCTTAGTGTTTGTAGAATATCTATCCAGGACCCTCTGGCTTTCAGAGTTTCCATGGAGAAGTCAGGTGTGATTCTGACAGGTTTGCCTTTATATGTTAGTTGGCCCTTTTCCTTAGCTGCTCTTAATATTCTTTCTTTATTCTGTATGTTTGGGGTCTTGATTATTACGTGTCTAGGGGACTTTTGGGGGGGTCCATTCTACTTGGTGTTCTGTAAGCTTCTTAAACCTTTATTGGCATGCCTTTCTTTAGGTTGGCAAAGTTTTCCTCTGTGATTTTGTTGAATATGTTTTCTGCCCCTTCAAGGTGGGTTTCTTCTCCTTTTTCTATACCTATTATGCTTAAGTTTAGTCTTTTCATGGTATCCTATATTTCCTGGATATTTTGTGTTAGGAATTTGTTGGACTTAAAATTTTCTTTGGTTGATGAATCTGTTTCTCCTAGTGTATCTTCAACACATGAGATTCTCTCTTCCATCTCTTGTATTCTGTTGATTATGCTTGCATCTGTAATACCTGACTATTTGCCCAGCTTTTCTCTTTCCAGCTACTGTATTTTTTCATCATTTCTATTTCAGATTTCAGCCCTTGCACTGTTTGAATTGTTTCTTGCGATTTTTGCTTTGTCTTTTCCTCCATTTCTTACATTTTTTGAACTGTTTTTTCTTCCATCTCTTTAAGGAATTTTTTCCATATCCTCTTTAAGAGCCTCTATCATTTTCATGAAGTTTTAAATGTCATTGTCTTCTGCTTCATTTGTGTTGGGATGTTCAGGTCTTGCTGGTGTGGGGCCTCTAGACTCTTGCAGTGTCATATTGGATTTTCCGTTGCTGAGTGTGTTTTTATATTGTTTCTTTCCCATTCCTTCTTCCCGTGGGTGTAGAAAGTGCCTCTTCCTCTCCTGGTGGGTACGGGACCAGGGATCCCTTATGGTGGGTGTAGGCAAGTTCATTGCTCTGGTAGCTCTCCTCTTCCTGATACTGGGGTGCTTTGGATCCCGCTGGGATGGATGGAAGCCCCAGTGGTAGACCCCAGGTACAGGAGTGTGGCCTGGAAACAGGCCCTGGTAGATTTAGTCTTGTGGGGGAGTAGGAGACTAGGATGCTGGGGTGCTTTGGCTCCTGCCGCAGGGATAGAAGCCGCAATGACAGACCCCAAGCACAGGCAGCCGGCCTGGAAAAATCTTCCCTCATTTATTTACTTATCAATTTAGAAGTACATTTTGCCTTCTATTCATGTCTGATGTACTGCTAGACATTGCGCAAATCACACAAATGTGGTGTACACTCCAGTAACAATTTTTGAGTAACATACATATATATATGTATGTATGTTATGTGTATATAACTTACTAATCCATGGTGTTACTGGTCTGTACACGTGTTTAGTGCTGACAGCTTGGGGTTCAGTAACCCATTAGGAAACTTGTTCCTGGAAAGAGCTCTTCCCCATTTCTGGCATCATTATTCACCTCTAGGTCTTTATGTGGGAGATAGGACTTTGTGAAATTTATACATTCATGTTGGCATATTAACTGAATTGTCATCATACAGGTCTTGTTTAATTGATCACATTGTTGACATTTCATGGGTACAGTTTCCCTGTCCTGTCTAGAAGACAGTAGCAGTAGGCATCCTGGTCTTCTGGCTCTTACAGTCTTCAGCCCCCATGACCACCACAATATTCCTTGACAATATAGGTGTTTTGTTGTGATTGTACCATTTGGGTCTGGGAATGTCATGTTCATTCATTCTTCTTGGCTGCCTTACTCCATGTCTTACTAACTGGAAGATAGCATGACCCTCTTAACGAAGCTGACAAGTACAGAAGCCTCACCTTCTTCATCCAAGTTCTCAGTTGAAGTTCAAATTTAACAAGTTCTCCTAGCATTTCAGGATTTATTCTGATTTTCAATGTTCATCTTTCTTGTTCTGTTTTTGTTGTTGTTGTTCATGGTGGTAGTTGGTGGTGTGTGTGTTGGAGAAGGCATCCTTATAGTCTCACATACTTATTTCTTCTTCATCTCCATTCTTACATTTACAGCTGTTTCTCACAGATACTGAATGAGGAAATATTACAGACTTGATTGTAGACCTGTGACCCATGAATCCATACACAATTGTGCAGTAAGCTTTCCTGGGAAGCTGTATCTCTGATTTGAAACCTGTTAAAACAAAATACAACAAGGCAATTAAAACAATCAGAGACCCAGAGAGACCTTTAATGGAGCCAGAAAGTTTAAGAACATTGGTAAAAAACAGTTTTGAGACATCTAAATTTTAATTAAGATTGTATTAATCCTCAAATGGTAATGGACTTGTCTTTATAATTAAGGTAAGAAAAATGACTTTACCCTAAGAAATGCTACTATTAATAGTTGCATAAAATAGCTGTGCCAATTAGTCATACTCAAGGAACATCATTGGGCCATAGTGCAAATGTCACTCTTCTTGGCCCTGGGGTTGGTAGATTGAGAAAATCTTCTCTAAAAATGATGGAGGCTGAGATCAACCACCTTGACCCAGGCCTTGGGGAGAATTTTAACCAGTTATTTTTGAAAATTTCCCTTACATTCTGGTGGTTTGGGGGCACAGATTCAGTTACTACCACACTGGAATCCTAGGAGTACTAACATTTTAAAATGCAAAGCCCATATTTTGAATTTACAGAGAATCATCTAATTTCAAGCTTATAGTTGGAAAACAAATCAAGATGAACAAATACTGCAAGAGAGGAAGAAGTCTGTTCTGCGGATTGTTAATGAATTCTTTTGGCTTGCATTAGTGGAAATGAAGTCTCTGAACACTGCTGATGTGACACTGTGAGCAGGGGGAGGGGCTTTTCATTCTCACCAGTGCCTAGAGGAAGCAAATTAAATGCTACTCTGTGAACTTCAGATTAATACAAAAAAGTCTAAATAGTTCATCAGGCAATGTTACTAAACACTTGTCAAACACAATTAGGAATTTAAGAAAACACTCCAACATGAGTGAAACACAGGAGAAAAATGAAACGCACACAGAGTTAGCAGGTACAGATCTTAAAAATAACCATGCTAAATGGATTCTAGGAGTTAATAGTGAGCATTGAGAATACTGTAAGCAAATCATGAGTTGCAAATTGGTGACAGGAGTTGATTTGTAAAAGAACTAAGCTAAATTAAAGACAACAAAATTTACAATTAGCTACAAGTGACAAAAACAATAGGTAAACTGGAAAAATGAGAAGTACAAATATCAATATGATAAAAAATTAAGAGAGAAAGAAAGAAGGAGAGAAGGGAGGGAAACAGGGAGGAAGAAGGAAGGAAGGAGGAGAAGAAAGGAGGGAGGAAAGAAGGAAGTAAGTATTAAAGAGAAGGGGGTGATATTTAGCAGGAAGATGCAAAATTCTAAGGCTACATATGCCCATTAATATGGCTTCAGAAAGTCAAGTGAAATTCTTGAAGAAATATAGGCAGACCCAAGTGAGTGTTTCTGATACAAATCTGCACTGGAAGAGGGGATTGCCATGAAGTATGTTCTCTAATCACAGAGGAACTAAGCCTGAAGCCTCAAGGACAAGTAGGAATGTTAGAAGCACAGGTATGTTTGTAAATTGAGAAATTTATTTCTAAGTAATGCATGGATCAAAAACAACTAACAATGGAAATCAGAAAGCATTTTGAACTGAATGACCACAAAGCAAAAGAAAGAGTGGAGATAATGAATTAAGCCTTTAGTATAAGAAGTTAGAGAGAGAATTTAATTAGGCACTAAGAAATTAGATGGAAGGTAATAATAAATATGAGAATTGATATTAACCAAAGAAGTGATAAAAGAGAAAAGGGAACATCAGTACAATTAAGATATTTTTAAAAATAATTAAATTGAATTCAATATATACTAATATTAATGAGAAAAATTAATGGGAAATGCATGAATATACATTGGAAGGGGGATGTAATTTCATATTTACAAATACTAAGGAACAGATGAATAGAAATTGCAAAGACAACAGTGCACAATGAAGAGAATTAGTAATAACACAAATGTAAGAAAGATACATTTGAAATTACATCATAAGATATGCCATTTCACATTGCCTGTGTGCAAAACAATTATGTTAATGACTTTATTTTCATGCCCTTTATGTCACCATTCTAAGGGAGAGCTACTCTTTGTATCCTCAGTTTTGGATAAAGAATGTGGCATTCATGAAGAACAGAGATTTGTCTAATGTCACATGTCTGGTGAGTAGGTTAATCATTACCTCAGAGTGAGGTCTGACCTCAAAGCTCATGCATGTTCTTAGTCACAAGGCTGCAGTGAACAGTAGGGCCTTTCCTCACCTGGACCAAATACCTAGGGAATTCCTGAGGCAGCAGCACCAGGTGACCATCCTCTACATCTTTCTTTTAGCCCTTTCTTTTCATTCCTAGCTCCCTTTATCCACTTCTCTCCACCATGACTTGTCCTTTTTCTCACTTGTGACAGGGAAGCAGGTTATTAGCCTCATGACAGACTTCCACATGTCTCCACAGGAACTTACGAGTTGGGGGTGAATAGTGAGCCATCCTCCCAGAGCCACGGCCCTTCATTCTGTTTCCGGGAAAGGCCTATCCAAAATGAATTAATATGGTGAGAAGACGTTTGGCTTTCAATGAACTCCTGTAGTAAAAAAAAAATACAGCACATCAGTGGAAACCCAAAACAATGCTATAGGCATTCAGAGACAAATTAATCCCTTTAAAGAAAGATGTGATTTAAGATGACAATCTAGAGAGGTCTGCCAGTCTTTGAAGATCACTGGATGTCTGGAGATGTACTTCCTCATTTTAGAGCCACTGTCAATTTTCCCAACAAGAACAGATTCTAATGCAGTGAAGAATGTGGGTTAAGGAGGTGGTTCAGCTGTTTGCTGAAAATACACAAGGATCTAGGTTTGAATTCCCAGTATCAATGTTAAAAACTAGGTATATCCATGCATGCCTTTAACTCCCGTACCGTAAGGGTGAAGATAGGAGACTCATGAGGCTAGCTTGCTATGAAAATGGATCTCTAGGTTCAGTACACACACACACACACACACACACACACACACACACACACACACACACCAACCACCACCACACACACATATGCATGTACATACACACAAATATGCACACACACATACATACACATCACACACATAAGTACTCATACAAACCAAAGGGGGAAAACAGGCTTATTAGATTAATATTCTGTCCCATTCAACAAACCACACAAAATTCAATGAAGTCCAGCTCCCAGGAAATTTCATGGGAAATAGGCAATTAGCTTTTGCACATGTTGCAAATATAAATTCATACTAGCTTTGTCAAGAAACACAGTTCTGGGAGTGAGGCCCAGAGCTTGGAAGGTGCCAGGTAGGCACTCCACTACAGATCTACATCCCCAACAATGCAATGCATGCTTTATGAATAAATAATCCATGTTTCAATGAAGTCCTGAATTGGACAAAAAATGAGATGACCTTTGTCAATTACAGGTTGGTATCAAAAGCCATGTGGATTTCTAATATGATTCTCTTCCTTGGCTATATTCCTGCTTTCACTGACTTTAACAAGAACTGCAACTATTGGATAGAGCACTACAGACTGAAAAATAGTGAAGGAGTGTTCCATTGCCCCTTCTAGCAGATCGTTTGAATCCAACTCTTCTGTCATCATGAATAGTAAGTCCTCCTATTTCTTCAACAGGTAGGCACTCCACCACAGGTAGGCTCATCCTCCTGTTTCGACAACATGCATGGTAAGTCCTCCTGTTTCTACACAATTACTTCTTAACAGGAACACCTCTCAACTCTCAGGTTGTTTATTATTATTATATAATGTTCAACTATTAACAACTGTTGTTTCTCTTTTCAACTATATATAGGAGGACTAGTTTTTAAACCTCTTTGCCACTTAGAAGGAATTTGAGATCAATTTTGACTACACAGGCAGTTCCAAGAATGTCTGGGCTAAAATAGAAACTATATCTCAAAATTTAAAAAAACAACCAAAATAACAACAACATAAAACTCCAAAAGACAAGCCAGGCGGTGGTGGCAAACACCTTTAATCCCAGCACTCGGGAGGCAGAGGCAGGTGGATCTCTGTGAGTTTGAGGCCAGGCTGGACTGACAGCCTCCAAAACAATACAGAGAAACCCTGTCTCGAAGAAAAAAAAACTCCAAAAGACAAAAGCTACCTCTGCCTTTTTTGCAAAGAAAAATAATTCATAAAGATATATTGTCATTGTTGATTTCTTTTTTGATAGTTAAAATGACAAGTGGGCATTTTCTCCTATTCTTCAACTTTGAACATTGAAGTGAAGATGTATAAAGATTAAGAGCCCTTACCACTACATTCAAACAATCATCAAGTTTGTTTCAAATGATTTGTTTTGGTGTTTTTACATTTACCTATTTGTTTTGTGCATTTGTGCTGTGTGGCATGCCACAGTGCTCATGGGAGGTCAGTGGGCAATTTGTGGATGTTGCTTCTCCCCTTCCATTGTATAGGTTCTGAGGATCAAATTCAGCTCAAGTTTGGTGGCAACTTCTAGCTTGCAAGTCCTGAAATTGTTTATTTTTAAGTAAAATTTGATCCCTTTCAAACTAATTAATTAAAACATAATAATGTATTACATACTTTACATGCCTACCGCATAATTTTGTAGTTACATAGAACATTGACATTAACATTGTTAATCCATGAATCTCTTTTGTTTTGCTTAACATAGATCACAGGTAATTATGGCAGAAGTTTGTGCTTACAAATTCTTTTGGGTTGTCTATCTTCAGTAGATGAGAACCTAGCTGGGAGCAGTGTCTCTTACTTCCAGCCCAGGAATTTTGTGACATCTTAAACAGATAACAGCTCTTGTCATGCATGATCCAATTAGGAGGGCAAGGCCCAGAAAAAAGTCCTGGAAAGAACAAATAATATCATGAAGTCCACTGTGTTTCAACTGATTCTTTTAGTGCATTTTCATGAATACTTAATGAATTTTCACTAGCATATACTTCATTAACACATACTTAAGTTTTGACTCAAATTAGACTATGTTTTTACAGAACACATTAAAATCCATTTGTTCATTAAAAATTAAAGTTAGGGACTGAAGAGTTGGTTCAGTGGTTAAGAGTACTGGCAGCTCTTCCAGAGGACCTGAGTTTGATTCCTAGCACAACTCCTACAACTCCAGTTCCAGGGGATCTAAAACACTCTTCTGGTCTCTGAGGTTACCAAGCATTCAAGTGGTATACAGATAAACATGAAAGCAAAACACTCATACACATAAAAATTGAAATTCAAAATCAGGTGAGTAGCTACAGTATTTAAACAGACAACTAGGCTTCCATTACTTCAAATTCAATCACGACTGGCTTTCTCTACTGCCCCCCTCCCTAAAGCAAACACACTCAAAATCAATTGCTGCACACACTAACTCAAATTCACTTAATTCACTTATGGATAGGCATAAATGTAATTATTTACACTTCAAAGACTCGTATGTTTCTTTAGCTAGTGGGTAGGTTAAGTCCATAGATGGAATAGTGAAGGGAAAATGTTGTCAGTCAATTACAATCCAATCAGAAACACAGACAGAGTGTAGAAAGAATGTTATTAGATCAATTAAATGTTATAGTTGAATGTGTTTAGTTTTCAGTGATGTCTGCATCAGGTCCCTATTCTTACTAGTGTTTATACTCTTGTCTTCAGCGTCACTTCCTCGCTTTTCCCCTGACATTCCTTTTCCCTTATGTCTATCTTATTCTAACAATACCACTATAAAAATATCAGTTCCCTACAGGCACTGAACACTGTCTCTCCCTTTGCATACAATTATATCATATCCGGTAGGTCTCCACACACAGCCAGAGACATAAACACTTACTGATGCTGATTGCAAGAGCTGTGGACTTGTGATTTCATTTTTCAGGTGTCTGACAGGATATGTTATGTTAAGGAAATACTATTAAGCATGTTTGCCTAGAATACACTGTTATTAGACGTAAACATCTTCTCCCCCCATGACTCAACACCAGGAAATGGACCTCTGAAGTTCAGGATTCCACTGCTCCTTTATAAAGTTCTGCCCTTGCCTGTAGTCTGGGATGCCTTGGAGGGAGCCATCTCATCTAAAGATGATTTTGTGGGTTTGTGGTTCTCTTTATTTCTTGATGGGAAGTTTTCTTTCTCTTCTGGATTTTTCCCTGAATTGAATCTCCAAAATGCTTCATATTTCATGAACAATAAGAGTGACAGAAAAAAAGAAAGTCATTTTGCTGTGTTTGAAAACTGAAATTCCATCACCCACATTTTATGAAAGCTAATAGGGGATATCTATGATTAATAATAAATCAATGATAAGTTGCTGATGAAAAAGACAGAGTCTGATGGTTGATACATGGATGATTGATCAGATATATGGAAAGGAATAAGTGACCTCTATGAAGAAGGTAGCAAGAAGAAAATGACATAGACCTAGCTGCAATTACAAAAGATTTGAAATAATAATTCAATGACAATAATATTCTTTCTGCTTTCTTCTATTTAAAAAGTGCAGCTCTTTGAGAGTTGTCCAGATTGTTATAAATGGAGTATTTTTGTACTTAGTAATCATTTGACTAATTATGAGCAATGAAGACTCTCTGAAAGTATCATACAATTGTATTGACACAGGATTCATGAGATATAGAAACCTACAGAGATCTATTCATCCGTCACAAAAAACATCTGCTTAGTATGTTTCAAGTACCTCAGGCAATACATGGTAGAGTCAAGATTTTTTTATTAAAGATCATCTGTGAGATAATGTCCATGTATCAAAAGGCTCACAAAATTACACACAACCCCTTTAATATAGCTATGACCTGGGAAAGATAACAGCATATTGTGTTTCCTTCTCCAGCTCTATAAGCTATCCTCTACTACCTTATCCTTTAAACTCCTCTTTTAAAAAATTAAGATATCCATGTTGAACAGTAGAGCAATATATCTAAGGATATGTGTTTTATTAAGCAAATTTCTACTCACTATCCCACCGCTAATTTATAGCGATGGAATAGTCATCTCCCAGTGTCTCCACTCTCCTGTAAGTGAAACGGAAATTAATAGCAGGAACTCAATGGGATAGGTGCACAGATTAATTGTCCTTGATTGCCATTCATCTCCCTCATCCATACTCACCTAGGAACCCCAGGACTACAGCAACCACTAGTGCGACCAAGCACAGGATTCCCAAAGTCACCGCAAGGGGGCGCCAATGGGGAGATGGAGACCGGCTTCCTGAAAGCCAGAGAGATGAGAAAGAAAATAAGAAAAGTCTGTGGAACCCTTTGGTTGCTCCGCACACTGAGGCGGGGACAGTTCTAAAGGGATCATCAGCTCCTACGGTCTAGTGTCCCGAGAGTCTAATCTTGTAGGATGAGTCTCCGCTGTCCCCCAGCTTCAGGGTGGCTCTTCCTCAGTTGCTTCGGCTGTGCTACCCTCCCTCCTTCAGCATCCTGTGTATGTTGCACTGTTTCCATTCTAAGATCTGTCTCCTGCTAATGGGACACTTTCTTCTAGCACGTGTTTTCCACCGCCGATACACCAACAACTAGTTTTAAAAAATGTAAATTAGTCTCTCCCCACAAAATTTGGGATTTAAAGCCCTGTGACTCCCGGCTGAGCCTTGCCATCTGCATACCCCTGAATTCCAGCTACATGCCAGTCTGTAGGTCTGGATATTGTCCATTCCCTGAAATCCCACTTGTTCATAGAATGAGCAGTTTTCTACAGGAGGAACAGAGCTAGTTATTAAGGGTAGCTTTTATTTATCGTTTATTTGGAAAAACTACTTTCTCCATCCCCTTCTTTTTAATGTTTTTAAGTTTCCATTTGTGAAACTGGATCAGTAACAACTTGAAATAGAGCTGTTGGAAGTAAGTGATCTAAAAATGCACAGAAGCACCCTTTCCAGCAACCGTGGGCACTTTGTACTCTACACAGCCTTGCCCCTTTCCTCCCTCAATTTTCTACCATTTTTCCAAGCAAATTGCACAAGAAAGGAATTGTGTAAATGGTTATAAGAAGAAAATAATTGCATAATGTGAACACCAAAAAAGCAGAAGAAAGCAAATTGTGATGTCAGAACCCATGAGTCATCTCTTCCTTAATGATAGCACTGAACTGAATTTTGTATTAAATTTACCACACCAACACCAGAAGGCCAAGTCACAGAGATGAGCAATAGAAGATCCATAAAGAGAGTAGAACCCCTACCCTGTGAGGAAAGAGAGCCATACGTCTTGCACTGTTTCCATTTTAAGAAATTCCTGTCTCCTGCTAAGGGGACACTTTCTTCTAACACATGTTTTCTAACCCTGATACACCAACAACTAGTTTTTAAAATTTCAAATTAGTCTCTTCCCACAAAAGTATATCAGATTTGGGTTTTTTGTTTGCTTTCTTTTGAAATTCCATACACTTTATTTTTTTCTTGATAATTCTTTTTTAATTAAATTAGAATCAAGCTTGCTTCACATGTCAATCCCAGCTCCCTCTCCCTCCCTTTCTCCCCCGCCACCACCAACCCCCCAATCTCCCACACAATCCCCACTCTGCTCCCCAGGGAGGGTGAGGCCCTTCATGGGGGATCTCCAGAGTCTGTCATGTCATCCAGGTCAGGGCCTACCCCCCCCCACCATGTGTTCAGGTTGACAGAGCATTCCTCCATGTGGAATGGGCTCCCAAAGTCCATTTGTATGCCAGGGATAAATACTGATCTACTACCGAGGCCTCATAGATTGCCTAGGCCTCCTCACTGACACCCAAATTTAGGTGGTCTAGAAAAGTCTGATGCTGGCCTCTTAGCCGTCAGTATGGGGTCCATAGCTCCCCATTGTTCAGGTCAGCTGTTTCTGTGGGTTCATCAGCCCAGTCTTGACCCCTTTGCTCATCACTCCTCCCTCTATGCAACTGGGTTCCAGGAGTTCAGTTCAGTATTTACCTGTGGGTGTCTGCCTCTGCTTCCATCTATCGCTATGCAGATTTGGGATTTAAAACTCTGCGACTCCTGGCTAATCTTTGGGTTTCACCAAAGATGTATTCATTTTTATTTTCCATGCAATCCTCTGCGATTTTATACCCTGCCCCTTTCGCACTATATATAGTAAGATTGTCCAGGTTCATTTACACTATTTTGAGTTTCCTGGCCCCCTCGCGAGCAACAAGCAACTCACTAAAATTCCTTCATCTTTGTCTAGCACTCATGTTACCAGCCCTACCTCCCAATGAAGAAGCATCTATGACTACAAAGTGGAGCAGTCCTGTTTCCCTCCACAAATCAAAAGCAATCTGTGGAAGTTGTTGAGTAGTTTCCAGAAAAAGAGATTTTTTGAACATCCAAGGGATTTGTGATGACTCCTCATATATACATATATATATATATATATATATATATATATATATATACAGTAGAACGTTCTACAAATCATCTACAAATCAAGAGTCTGCCCAGGTCTCTACTACTGTTGATAAGAATGAAGGTTCTATAAGCAGAGAGAAAATGAATACCTTTCTCTGATCCCACAGCTTTTTTGAGGATGCCTGGAGTCCTGAAGTCTAATTGGGTATATCCATCTTCATCCAGATTCTCTACATGAGAGTGATATTCCATTGTTTCGTAGGGCCTTGGGTAGGCAGAGCACTTGAATGTTCTTTCCAAGTAAGATAACTGCCAGGCTGAGGTTCTCTAAGCCAAACCCTGAAACAACTCTTTGCTGAGGTTTATGGAACTCAGCATAGTGTAGTCAGTGCCCAAAGCAGGAAATGAAAATCATGTTGGAGTAATTTCCCATTTTTTGCCTCTAGATCCTTTTCTGAGGCTGTAAATTCTGAAGAAATCTGAAACATTGTACAGTATATGGCTGTTGTTTGAAATCAATGATGATGCATAGATTGATGTCTTAAAAGGCTTCAGCTACACTCTCCATCTAGTTGGCATGATTAATTGATGTGGCCTATGTAAACTGTTAAGGAGTATTGGTACCTTGAGCTCACCATTGGTCTGTTAGAATTCTGCTTGCATGCACACATCTGTTCATGTGTTCTTTCTGTAAACACACATTAAGTACTTCACAGCTGGATGAGATGTACTCTTGCAGAAAGGTTATCCACAAAGAAACTCATTGCCCAATGGAGGAAACCACAGGCAAGAGTCAAAAACACATTAACCCAGCAACAGAAAGCAGATGAATCTCTCTGAGGCTTGTCATGGATTAAAAATATATAGGAGTAAATATTTATTTATAATTATGCTGCCTTAGTACAACACAGCATGTATGCTTTCTCATTTAATCTCAGACCTCTAGGGATTCTATATAAGTGTGCATTAGTTCTACTATTTTCAAATGAGGAGAAAAAGACATGGATGCTCAGACAATGAGAATTTTAAAACTAGAGCAAGGGATTGGACCAAAGTCTCCTCTGTCTTTTATACTTGGAATTGCTTTCTGCTACACTGGCTTTGTTCTTGTGGACTCTTAAATGCACATAATAGTTTAGGGAAAATCTAAGACTGAAACACAGGGCTAAATGTCTGTACATCTTTTCTCTTTCTCTCTTTCAATTCACAGGTTAGCAAAACGTGATCAAATTAGTAAAACATGTTTGAATTCCATCATTTGATCACTGCTATAGGTCAACAAGAAGGACATCAAAGTAACAAGGGCAGATTTAATTTCAGGATTACTATTGCAATGGGAAATAAGGTCCAATATGAGCTGAAGTCAGAATCCACAAGACAAAAATCGGAAGGCTTTCTGAGGCTGGAGTGTGCCAATGAAAAGTTGTGGTGCTGAGGCAACAGCCAGAGTGAGTCTTCATCAGGGCTTGGTCATGGGCACTCATTAAACTAAGAAACTTCTCATCTTTTTTTTTCATTTAAATTAGAAACAAGCTTGCTTCACATGTCAGTCCCAGCTCCCTCTCCCTCCACTCCTCCCCTGTCCCCTCCCAGACCCTCCAACCCCCCACCCAATCCCCATTCAGCTCCCCAGGGAGGGTGAGGCCCTCCATGGGGGGTGTCCAGAATCTGTCATTTTGTTCAGGGCAGGGCCTGGGCCCTCCCCCAAGAGTCCAGGCTGAGAGAGCATCCCTTCATGTGGAATGGGCTCCCAAAGTCCATTTGTATGCCAGAGATACATACTGATCTACTACCCAAGGCCCCATAGATTGCCTGGGCCTCCTCAGTGACACCCACATTAAGGGGGTCTGGGTCAGTCCCATGCTTTCCACACAGCCATCAATCTGGGGTCCAAGAGCTCCCCTTTGTTCAGGTCAGCTGTTTCTGTGGGTTAAACCAGCCCAGACTTAACTCCTGTGCTCATCATTTCTCCCTCTCTAACACTGGATTCCAACAGTTCAGTTCAATGTTTATCTGTGGGAGTCTGCCTCTGCATTCATCTGTCACTGGATGAAGGTTCTGTTTCCCAGACAGTCTGGCAGTGGGATTGTATGCTGGCACTCCCCTGATCCATGTCTAAAATCCATACATGAATGAGTACATACCATGTTTCTCTTTTTGTGACTGGGTTACCTCACTCAGGATGGTTTCTTCTAGTGCCGTCCATTTGCCTGCAAATTTCAAGATTCCATTGTTTTTCCCCGCTGAATGGTACTCCATTGTGTAAATGTACATTTTCTCTATCCACGCTTCAGTTGAGGGGCATCTAGGTTACTTCCATGTTCTGGCTATTACAAATAATGCTGCTATTAATATAGTGGAACAGACGTCCTTGTTGTATTAGTGTACATCTTTTGGGTATATGCCTAAGAGTGGAATCATCTTTTTGACATGAGGAAGAAGCACACCTTGAAGCAATCCATGTACCTCCAACTCCCAGAGACAGTGAGAGAGAGCAAGGAGGATAGCCCTGAATGTTTGCCTTTGAGAAAAGATACTGTATTGCAAATTCCAAACGTAAGTGCTGTAAGAGTGCCAAGTTAGGTTTTTGATTTTTTTTTTTTGTTCTTTGAGACAGCATCTTGGACACTCATCATTCCTGCAGATCACAAGACAACAAACTTAGCTCTGATTTAAGGAGCTAGTAGCGCTACCAGCATCAAGCTTGCTTGTGTAGGTACCACAAGCTATTGGACCCATAAGTCCTTAGTAATAAAACCCTCAGTTACTTGGAAGTCATGGTAGGTCTGGCAGGTGAAGGCAGGAGCAATCTAACAAGGATGGAGATGATAGAGCAAGTCAGTGGAGAGTAACTAAGTGAGATTCTGCTTCTTTCCTGGTCTGCCACAAACGTCTTAATGACTATTCATGGATAAGTTGTCCAGGAGTCTGGTCTATCTATATTCCATGTCCATTAGCCATTAAAGTCATAATGCAATCTTTGTGAAGCAGTGTGATGAGATGTAAGACATTCTACCCCAAGATAAGGCATGTTGACATCTGATAAAAAAAACATAAAGAGGAAGACCACCCCTGACACAAGCCATGTGAGGGGGGGTGGGGATCCTCTTTCACTGTCTAGATGAAAGGGACATCCTTGTTTTACATGAAAACACAGAAAAGAGAATGTAAGACAATAAACCCAGCCATGTTTCCTTCAGTCTTCCCTAATTAATTAAACTCGGTGGGTATCATGGAATATTAGTTTAATATGTGTTACATTCTTGTGTGCTGTGGAATATTTATTTACTGATGCAAAGATGTGCTGCATTCTTTTATGTTTGTTGCATTTGTTTAACTCTGTGAAGCTGATTGAGCTCACAGCCAGTAGCTAGGCAGGAGAAAGGATAATCTGGGCTGCCAGGCAGAGAGAATAAATAGGAGGAGAAATCTAGAGAGAAAAAGAGAGCTAGGAGAAGGGGTGAGAAAAGGAGGAGAGGAGGATTCCAGGGGCCAGCCTCACAGGTAGCTATGGAATAAGAAGGAAAGAATGATATATAGAATTAAAAAAAAAGGTTAAAAAGCCCAGAGGCAAAACATAAATAGAAATGGGATAATTTAAGTTAGTAAAGTTGGCTAGATATAAGCCACGCTAAGGCTGGGCATCCATAAGTAAGAACAAGTCTCCATGTATTTATTTGGGAGCTGGGTGGTGCCCCCCCAAAAAATAAAACAATAATGGCAACAGCACAAACAAACTAAACAAAACAAAAGAAAAGAAAAAACTACAGGTGGGTCACACATTAGAAGAAGACATTAAAGTGTGAGATGGTTGTTAGAAGATGGGCTCCTGTGAGGGAGGATGGGGTGGTAGAGGAGTGTGGGGGTGTGAAAATAACTAAATTTCATCATATAAACCCATGAAAGTGTCAAACAAAAATTAAAATCTGCTCCTAAGAGTTAAGCACCTTACCTGTGTTAGTCATAGTTATATTTCCTAAGAAATGAAGAATTCTTATTCATCATAGGTTTTCAATGGATAAGTGTTGAATCAACATATAAACATATTTGTATATTTATGTGCCTATAAATATTAAAGAAAATATACTGTAACATGAAAAATAAAAGACCCAGAGACAAATATTGGGGTCCAAACTTCAAGCTGAAGTTCAGAAAAGCAAAGCAGACAACCACTAGTTCTCACCTCTAGCTCAAACATAAAGTGTGGATCCATGAGCTCTTCACCAAACCTCAAACTGCTGCCTCCCTTCAGTGTGGCTGGAGAAAAAATGCCTGATACTGAGACCTTGCTCCTGTCTTACATACCTCCCTAATACTGGGATTAAAGGCGTGTGATCCTAGGTGCTGAGATCATCTTTGTATCAGCTGTTTCTCTTTAGGATTGAAACAGTTTTGTGTAGATCTAGGTGGCCTTGGACTCAGAGAGATCTGTCTGTCTTTTAATCCTGAGTCCTAGGATTAAAAGCGTGTACCACCACCTCCTAGCTTCTGGCTGCTTGGATTAAAGGTGTGTTCCTGGAGTCTATGGCTATCGACTGACATTGCTTTCTGAATCGTCAGGCAAACTGTAATAAATCATAAATATATGTGACTACAATATACTGTAAAATTAATAACAATTATTATTCTTCAGTTGATAGTTCTCTTTTTTCTTATTGTTTAGTTTAGCATACAAAACAATGGACTTTGTGATATTTCTGTACATTTGTGTCATTATACTTTAATCTCACTTGTTACTCTTCCTGCTTCTCTTTGGTTAGAAGCCGCCACAAACCTGAGTTTGGTGTCACATGCTGGTGACCTCAGCACATGAGAGATGGAGATAATGGAATTGCCGTTTCAAGTCTAGCCTGGGCTACACAATGAGAGACACTTTTAAAAAATCACCTATCTATACCAGATATAAAAATAAATAATAATGTTTCAAAAGCAATAACTTATAATCTCCTCTGTTTTCACCTAAACTTCATTGTCTGCTACAGTCAATGCCATTGTGCTGTTCAGTCTATAACGCTGAAAATGACAAACATTCTGTCTTTCCATGTATTCTGAGCTCCATGTCCAGCACAGTATCTGGAGTCAGACAGGAAAGCAGGCTTACTTCTCATGGAAGTCAGCAGGCTGAATTATCAACAGTTCCAACTTCTGACCCTTCTTACGACTTGGTGTCTCTAAATTACCTTCAGAAGGCCAAAGGAATTGAAGAAAGAATGGGAAATGCTATTTTCAAGGAGAAAACATTCTATTTATTTAATTCTTACTTTGTTTTAGTGGTAATATATATGCAAATCATTTACTTTTAAGTTTCGCCCTGCAGTCATAACTGTGTGTGTCGCGTCTTTCAAGTATGGTGTGATGTTTGGGTATCCGTGTACAACGTGGAATGGGCTTTCTTGTGTATTTACTTTTGTGCTTTAGCTGACCTGTGGTTTGTTCTTCATCCTTCTGCTCGCCGCAATGACTCCTCTTTTCCATTTCATTCACTTTTAATACATCATTAGCCATCCGTTGACCAGTCAGACACTTGGCTTTTATTTAATCCCTGTGCTCTTAATTACAGAATCACACTTACCACACTGAGAGCAGGATGTAGTGCCAGATGGCCCAGGACGGTCTTTGGACTGTCCTGGTTGGGTCGCCAGCAGCACCCGGGGAGCCTTTTGTTCTTCATGTGGGGATTTTATACGGCTTTGTTTAGAATAAAGTAACTGAGCTCAAAATATTGGCAGAAATCCACATGGTGTTCTTACAGAGAGGAGCGGGCATGCGATTACAGTGTAAATAAATCTCTGGCTCAACTTCTAAATTCAGGATGTGTCCTTTCTCTGGTGCTGTGGATTGACTGACTTTAAAAACTTTCAGTTTCGGAGCTGACTGTCTCCTGCAAAAATGTCTGTCGAGATCCTTGTACGCTGAAAAAGATGGAAAACTGATGAATGAGAATAAATCCCCTATCAAGTGTGGTCTAATCCAGGCTGGAAGGATTAAACCAAAATAATTAGCAAAAATCACACAGCAATGGTCAAAGAGAGGGCGCCATCTACAGCCTTGTTTCGGGAGTTTCAAGGCAAAAAAGAAAATAAATCTCATCAGCTTGAGAGTCAAATTGCAGAATTTAAACAAGAAGAGCCTGAACTGGGGTGAGCAGCTGCTGTTCCCTCTTCACAGCTGGAAGTTTTTGTTAGTTTTTAGATTTATGTGGCTTTCTTAGTCATAGCTGTGTATGTCTACTAGATTTCTCATTTTTGATGTCTGCTATCAATTTACAAGTTTTCACATTGAAAGAAATTAGTCTATACTTATTTGTTATCAGTTCCAAATATCTCAAGTAACTGATTCCCTGTGTTAAATGAATGCAATTGTATAAATGTAGTTATTTCAATTTCTTTTTTTTTTCCTCAACACAGACTCAGAATCATGGGAATAGTCTCTGGGTGTCTTTACTGCTTTCTACACTGTTCATGCTATAGAAAGATTCTCTTTAGAACTAATTCTCACTAACCAATCATTTGGTGAGTGAATGAATGAATAAATGAACTAAAAAATGAAAGAATTCTAATTCATATAGTTTTGTCAAGGGTAATTAGAATAAAGGAAAAGCAAAATATTTGGCACAGTTGTGTTGTTACCTAAGTTACTGAAGCATACAGTCAGTTTTTTGTTTGTTTGTTGATTTTGTTTTTCACACAGAGTCTCACTATCTATCCTTGGCTGGCCTAGAAATTCACTGTATAGATCATAACAGACTGAAGCTCAGAGATTTCCACCAGCCTCTGCATCCCAAATGCTATTTCTATCTTTGAGAGAAGGTCTTATACTGTAGCCCAGTATTCTAGATTTCTGTTTTTTGCTGTTAGGGTGACTTAGGGGAGGGAAGGGTTTATTTGGCTACAGTTTCAGATTACTGCCCATCATTAAACGGGAGTTAAGGCAGGAACTTGGGCAGCTAATTGCAGCACAGCTATAGTCAAGGGCAGAGAGAAACAAATGCATCTTGCTGTCTGCTTGCTTGCTGACTTGCTGTCTTATGCAGTCCAGGGACCCCTGCCTAGGGATGGTACTGCCCACTGTGGGCTGGGCCCTCCTTCATCGATTAACCGGCCCCATTGCTAGGACCGTCTGATCTAGCAATTCCTCAGTAAAAATTTTTGTCACGAATAACTTCAGGTTCAATCAAGGTAACAGTTCAAGCTAGCCAGGACACTCAGACTGGCCTGGAAACATGTAGCCGAGGTTGGCCTTGAACTCAAAACTCTTTTGCTGCTTCATCCTCCTGAATTTAAACATTGGAGGTCTGTGCTCCCCTATCTTACTCCAGACTGGTTTTAAAAATCAGGCATTTAAGCATTCTGTATCATTTATAAAACATTATAACAATTAGGTTTCTTTAAAAAACTACTTAACTTTGAAATCGAAGCAAAGCAAGATAGTGCTTTATGAACAATGTTAACAAACAGCTTAGCAAAAATAGGTGATTTGACACTTACGAATACTCAGGTAGATTCCTGTTGCCAGGGTTATGGAATGTTTTACTGGGCTTAAATTATTCATAGTGCTATCGATTTGCTTATTCTGTAAATGTTAAATTATTAAATGAACTGTAGGGTGTGCTCATAATGAAGTTAGACAGCTTAGGAAGTGCTGAGGCATGCAGCTATTGGCTGAACCCTAACACAGACCATTAAGTTTCAATATGTTGTAACTGAAGGCCAGATTAATAACTGTAAAAGCCCAGATTGCTCCAAGTCCACACATAAGTCAATGAATAACCCAACCTTGTCATTCCATACAAGCCAAGCCCTCACTGCTCTCTCATTTTTTCCCATTTACTCTCTGGAAACTGGAGTGCTGTCAGTTTTCTGGTTCAAGACATCCTTCATGGGTTGAAGCTGATGTGGAGGGGACAATTTGAGAGGACTTACAAAGCAGGTTCAGGTACAGAGACAGTGCCTTTGAGGAGTGGTGAGATGACTCAGCTGCCAAGTCTGCTGATCTGAGTTTGATCCAGAGTGGAAGAAGAGAACTGACTCCCATTGGTTATCTTAAGGCCTCCACGTGTGTCATGGCACAAATGCCCACACATAAACAACAACTTACACAAGATAAATAAATTAAAAACATTAAGTAGCTTTGATATTATGATGTAAATATTAGATACTTTATTTTCATTGATCTTGGTTTTCTGAGACAGAACCTGGTCCTATAACCCAGGCTGGCCTAAAATTCATTAGGTGACCCAGGCTGGCCTAGAATTCATTAGGTGACCCAGGCTGGCCTAGAATTCATTGGATAGCCCAGGCTGGCCTGAAACTCACAGCAATCATCCTGCTTTAGCCTTCCACGTATAGATTCAAGATGAAATTTTTCAGTGTATTCAACTCATTTGCAAAGTTATGAAAATAAATTAGTAGTAGATACAGGAAAGTGCATCTGTTTTGCTCATGTGACCAGACAGAGCCATGCAGTTTTTCTAGGTGAAGTTCTCTGAGCCACTTTAGTCTTTGAGAATGTGTGCACTTGTAGACCATCTGTTCCTCTATTGCGAAGTCCTAGGAAATCCCAACATAAACTATGATGGAAAATAAAGGAGATGTCTCCCATTTTTATGTGCAGTGTGCAAGACAGTATCTTCCAGGGCACAATGCTGCAACACAAGATTCCTAAATAACACTTACACATAGAGCTAAGCCCAAGTTAGTATCTTTAGGTTATTAGTTCACCATGCATAAAAGTTTTAGAATCTGTTAAAAAAGAAAGAACCTCTGTAGAGTTTGAAAAAGACAAAAACCAACAAAGAAATAGTATAGAGAGCTAAGGTTTCTGGAACTCATCAATTCTAGGCATGGGAAGCACTCCATAAACTTTATAGATTCTCAAATAGCTATGAGATAGCAAGTAATGTTTTTCATCTGAAGAAATGAAAGCATCATGATGGTCAGTAAGTTATGTTTTATAACTGAGGAAGTCAACAACTGAATTTGAACTCAGATAGTCTGATATCAGATCCCTGTGCTAAACCAGCATGCTCATATTTTCATTAAAGAAATGCGTGTGTAAACAGCAACAAATTTACACTAGCAGTCAGTAAACTTTCTTTGAAAATAATTGAGAATAAATGTTAAACATTTTGCAAGCCACTTACACTCCATTGCATATGTATTTTTAGTTCCTCTTTAAAAATGAATGCAAAAGAACAGTCTCATCACACAGGGCAAAAGAAGTCACAGGGAAAGAGGAGTAGTTGAAAACTGATTTAAATATTGTCAAGAATAAGAGCATTTCCAAGAGCTGGGACCAGTATGCCATGTATGAACCAGCAGAGAAACCAGGGATAGCCCAAGTATTCAGTGTATGAACCAACAGAGAAACCTGGGATGGCCCATATCAGAGATGCTACTTCAGAACAGAGGCTCAAGGAATGATGCAAAGAGCTCTATGAAGACTGCAGGCAACATGAGGGAAGGTTCATATGGCATCAGCAGGACTCCAGAAGACAGCTCTGTCATCAGTTTTGGAATAGCAACTGTGCCAAACAGCTAAGAAATTCATCCTTCAGCGTTAGACTCCAGTTTTTTTTCAGCTCATTTATGTTTTCGGCAGGATGCATTTGCTTGGTGCTAATTCCCCAGCTTAAATATATATTTACCTTTGACTTTGCCAAGAGCCAGGAAGGACGGGTGAGTATTGTGTATGCCTTCCATTCAAACCTAAAAATAGACACATGAACTGATATGAAGCAGTCATGTTCAAAACAATGGATAAAAGCTAGGATGGACAATAAGAATGATGAAAAGAAACAAAGTAGGCTCTATGACTGGTACAAGCTTAGCAGGTTCTGAGTGTGGCCAAGTCACCAAGAGGACAGAAGAAGTAAGATGATGTTGGGAAACTCTCTGAGCTGACGTTCTGTGGAGAGACAAAACCACTAAGAGTCCACAGATGACTAGGAAAGAAGGAAGAGCACAAAGACTGAGATGTCTGAGCAGGGTCACCGTAGCTAATTGGCAATACAGAGTAAGGCCGAGGAAGGGAAAGGAGGGAAGGGAGAAGGCAGATAAAACGAAGGAGAAGTGAGGAAGGGAGGGAGGAAAACAGAGGGAGCCCCTGGCCTGTCGGTCTTCACGGTCACTGTAGAAATGGAGGTGCCACCCTCTGGAGATCCAGGGCATCCCTTCCCTTCCTTCCCCTTGGCTTGGACTCACTCCTAGCCCCTTCCCAAACTTGTTGCTCATAGGCACCTCACTAGGAATTGTGACTGTGGTCTGGAAGATTGAATACAAACCGAGTTTTATACGTTTAGCACCCTGGGTGTTTTGTTGTTCTTGTTTTGTTTTGTTTTTTGTTTTTAACATGTTTGATTTTTGGTTTTGGCTTGTCATCCCCTAGTAGAAGAGCTACTCTTAGCAAAGGGGTAAGTTATTTGTCACAAAAACTATAGCTATGAAGACTAGAGTGTGGCTATGGCGGTAAAGTGTTTGCTATGAAAGCCTAAGGACCTGCATTTGGATCCCCAGAAGATGTCACTGGTCTGTAACTCCAGCGTAGGAGGGTGGAAACAGGAAGCTTCCTGACCAGTTAGTCTAGTCAAAACCAAAGCACTGGGTTCAGTGGGAGAAATGTTCTAAATCTAAGGTAGAGAAGTGAGAGAAGATACCCATAATCAACCTCAGGTCTCCTTCTTGCACATCTCCATGGGTGAGTACCTCCCACCCAGCCCCCGCACAAAGAATAGCACTGAAAGGACTGAGAACAACATAAAGCACAAAAGAGAAAGATGTTGATCTAGACTTCTATAGTCACAGAAAGAACTTTCACAAATGGTTGTGAAACAATGTTGTCAACTGTCCAAGAGCAAGGGGAATTCATCCCTAGCAGACTTTCACTGCAGGAAAAGAAATACCCTGGTCTGGCAAAATGGCCTGAGTGCCATGTCTGGGAGTATATAATGGAAAAAGAAAACCAACACTCCAGAGTCTTTCTCCGACTTTCATATGCAGATACACACAAACACACACAGACACACACACACACTGACACACATGGATACAGACACACACACACAGAGATAGACAGACACACATAGACACACAGACACACTGAAACTAACACTCACAAACACACCCACATACATACAGACACACATACTGAGACAAACAGACACACACATAAACACACACATAGACATAAACATACAGAGACACCTCAACAAACACACATATACAGACAGACAAACTCACACTTCCACACACACATTGAAACACATAGACACACACACACAGATATGCACACAAGTTACATTAACATGCTCATAGTAAATAACAGGAAAAAATCTTTAGAAAAAAAGACCTCATGATGAAAAACCGTATCTAGAGACAAAAATGGATAACATGTGAAATGACTCCTAGAGTTCAAATCTCCAGCACTGGGTATGCTAGCATGGACTTGTAACTGGATATGGCAGTGTAGGGAGCAAAGTCAAGAGTATATCTGGGGCTTGTTGGACTGCCAGGCTAATTTGTGAGCTCCATGTTTACTTCAAGACTCTGTCTCATGAACTAGAGAGTAACAGATAAAGACAAGTCTCTGGTCTCTGTAGGCATCTGAATGTGCCAGCAAGCCCATACAACATGTGTGTCCTCACACAAACAAATGTATACTGCACTCACACACAGAGACACACACACAAGTACACACATACTCACATGTACACATGCAGAAACACACACTAATAAAATAAAACTGTTTAAAAAGTAACTTACTTATTTTTCATTATTTTTGAGACACTCTTATTTACATATCCATCCCCCCATTCCCTAGCCCTCCCATCCTCCCATGCTTCCCACTGACCCCCTAACCCACCCCCTACTCATTCCCCAGGGACAGTGAGGCCCTCCATGGGGGATCATCAAAATCCACCACATCATTTGGGGGAGGGTCTAGGCCTTCCTTTCCATATCTGGGCTGTAATAGTATTCAGGAAATGTGCTTCTTAAATTAATGACTGTCTATGCAAAATGTATAGTTGACACCATACTTAAAGTTCAATGACCTAAGTTCAAGGTCCATATGCAGTCATTCATGAAAGCATGAAGAATTGAGTATGTTTACATTACCTGCACTGAAAATCCAGCAGCATATAGAAGAGAAGTTTTGAGAACAATGCAATGAGTTTACCAAGGCCTCAGAGTACAACACTAATAAAAAATCCATTGTTTTGCTTTTGAACACTAACAACAGATACTTATAAATCAAATTTGTAGATGGTAATTCCATCTACAGTAACTTGAAAAGTATGAAATACGTAATGACAGCCTATAATGTGCAGGATATCTGTACAGAAAATACAAAACTGTCGGGAGAGAGGAAAGAATGTGTAGAATGTGTGGATAAATGTGCTTTGTTTGGAAATGAGCACTCTTTTCATTTATTGTATTTTATTTTGAGGTAGGATCTCACTTTGTAGTCCTGGCTGGCCTTGAATTCATAGAGATGGAGTTGCTTGCTTCTGCCTAATGAGTGCTGGGTTGAAAGGTGTACACCACCATACCTGGCTATGAATTAGCTTTTTTAAAGGTGTTTAGCTCTCTTAAAATTTATCTATAGATTCAATATGGCCAAAACCAAAATTTAAAAAAAGGGTTTCATGGAGTTGATAAGACAGTTCAAAGCTGAATATAGAAATACAGTAGCACACATCAACTGAAACAGCCTTTGGATAAGACTATGGTTCAAGCATCATCATTGCCTGATTTCAATGTTTATTATAAAAATATAGTATTCAAAATAGTGCAGAGGCCATAGTAGGAAGAAAGCCAGAAGGACAGAGCATGTGGGAACAGATAAACACTATTAAGGGGCAACAGCAACCTCACTAGATTGTTGAAACAATTGGATATCCACGTATAAACTGAGGAGCTTCAATGCATGACCTGCAAAGAATCCAAAACAAGTCATAGACCACAGGGCAAAACCTGGAACTAAAACCTTTCTGGACCAAGAGGCAAAAGAGAAAGTTTCAGGGTGTTGAATTAGGCAGTGAGTTCTTAGGAATAATGGCTAAAATATGAAAATGGACTTTATCAAAATTAAAAATGTCTGCTTTGTGAATATTCTAGTTTTTTTTTAAAAAAAGGTAAGTTATAAGCAAAACAACAAGCAAACAAATACATAAACTGTGGTAGTTTGAACATATTGGTCTTCATAAGCTCATATGGAGTGGTACTATTGGAAGTCGTGTCTTTGTTGGAGTGGGAGTGGCCTTGATGGAGGAAGTGTGCCACTGTGGAGGCGGGCTTTGAGGTCTCATACACGTTCAAGCCATGCTCAGTGTCTCAGACCACTTCCTGTGGCCTGCAAGTCAATATGTAGCTCCTTCTCCACTTTCAGATCCCTTTCTAGCACCATGTTTGCATTCATGCTTCCATGTCCTGCTATGACGATAATGGACTTGCTATGATGATAATGGACTAAACCTCTGAAACTGTAAGTCACTCAATGAAATGTTTTCCTCTATAAGAGTTTCCATGGTCCCAGAAATAGAAACCCTAACTAAAAAAAACAAAAACTTTTGTTCCACACCAGGACTTTTTTATTCTCAAATATGTAAATCCCTCAGGTTTAAAATCCAAGAAAACCAAAATTCTCAAAAGTAATACCCAGCTATTTCATCATAGAAAATGTATAGATAGTAAATAATAACACCATTATCCATTTAAGAACTTCAAATTAAAACTGCAACTATACACAGATATATACTTATAAAGATAGCTAAAGGGTTGGAGAGATGGCTCAGGAATTGAGTGCTGGGTGTCCTTCCAGAGGACCTGGGTTCAGTTCCCAGGATCTACAGGATGGCTCACAATTGTCTGTAACTCCAATTCCAGAAGATACAGTGCCCTCTTCTGACCTTCTCTGATGGCAGGCATGCAGAATGGTTAAAGTTATGATATTGACCATACTGAATTATGGTGCAGATGAAAAGGGACTGATTCATTCTACACTCCTGGTGGGAATGCCAAGTGCCTTAACTTTGGAAAGACTTTTAGCTGTTTCTCAGATCACTAACTATATATCTATGTACTGTGTGAAGTGAACTTCACACTTGTAAGTGCTTACCTGAGAAATCAGATCCAAAGACTTGCTCATGGACATTCATAGTAACTTTATTTGTAGGTGAACTCAAACAGAAACAACCCAAATGGCATCAACAAATACACAGATAAACAATTAGCAGTATGTACCCATAGTGGGGTGTTTAACACTGAAATGAAGATATATGCATACCAAAGTAATAGCACCAAGTGAAAGAACCTGGGCCAAAAGTACATATTTATAATTCCATGCATATAAACTGTATGAGTCACATGTGGCAGTGCAGTTCTTTAATCTTAGAACTTGGGAGTCAGAGGCAGAACAAATTCTGTGAGTCAGAGGTCAGTCTGGTCTTCACAGTGAGTTCCAGGCCAGTCAAAGCTACATAGTGAGACCCTGTCTTAAAAAAATTATAAGCTCTATGAAATGTAATCTGAAAGCAGTTCAGTGTTTGTTTTAGGGAGAAGGCTTGGAAAGGGGCAGGAGTGACAGACATGTGCATCATTGTGGCTATGGTGACTTGACCACCACAGTTTACAGGACTTACAAATTCAATTTATTATAAGTTCGTTACATAGAAAAACTGCCAGTGAAAAAGTGATCCCTGTCTCATCTTCCCAAGGACACATCTTCACACACAGACACACACACACACACACACACACACACACACACACACAGACACACACACACACACACGATTGTTGGCCTAAAACAATAAAAAGCTTCCTTTGATGTGGAAGTGTCTGAAGTTTGTGGGGAAAATGGAGGTTTTGAAAATAGAAGTCTCTTAGTTCATCTGTTTCAACCGAATACCATTTTTATGCTCAGATCATATTGCTCTAAAAACTTGTCCTGAAACTTAGTTTCTTTCATTTTGGTCATGTGTGTTTCTGAATCACAGCATAGCATGACAGGATCAAGGAAAGGTTGTCTACAAGGGATGTGTAACTTAGGGGAAAAATCTGGTCTTGCTTTGGGGCCACATATTATATGGTTCTAACAAGCACTGTTTTTAAAGGGTTAAAATAACAATACTGTTGCTTGGTAGAGGAAAGAGGAAGAGATTAGTTATGTAAGAACTGATCACAAGGGCAGGAGAGACAGCTCATGGTTAAGAGCACTGGCTGTTTTCCCAGAGGACATGAGTTCAATTCCTAGCACCTACATAGCAGTTCACAACCACCTGTAAATTCCAATTCCAGAAGATCATATGCTACTTTATGACCTCCAAATGGCACCAGATGCTGATGTGGTGCACATGTAGACAAACCCCCACAAACATAAAATAAATATAAAATTAAAATTGTAAATGTGAAAATGATGCAGTCTGGAGATGGAACACAGTCACAATGGTCAAGCTGTGGCTTCTAGCAGGAACACAAGTTCCTTCTTGCAGTGTGGCTTTTCCTCCATTCTGTTTCTCCGCGTGCTGCTTCAGAGGCACACTTCCCTTCTGAGCCCCTGCCTGCACTAGGACAGTTTCTCCACATTCTGTCTTCCTTATGCAGCTCCATAAGGTGCACTGAGGTATAGGAGACTGATTAGAAAGCATTTTCCAGGTCAGGCAGGAGTCATCGTTTCAAAAAAGAGAGCGATGAAGGATTGCAGCATGGCCAGGAGGCTTGGGAAGGGCAAGGCTAATACGTATGGATAAACAAACTCACAACGTTTGATACAAAGATGTCCAACAACTGGATACCTAGTCTCTGCTTCTAGTTCTTGCCTCTGCTGGTGAGAACTGATGCTAGCAGTTAGCTGACTGCTGTCATGAAAATCATGTTTCACATTCAAGTAAGCAGGAATAGCTTAAATTTTCTAACAGTCATAAGTCTTCTGTTCTTTCAGAATCTTTAACTTCACTCTGTTGGCGATAGGCCTGCCTGCTTCTCACATATGCTGAATGCAGTTAAAATGCAGTGGTCAGCAAAAATACCTCCCCCTTGAATGTACACACAGGTGCCTGATGGATGAGTCTGGGAAGGAATTCCCCTGATCCTGAATCTGCAGGTATAGAGAAAAGAAAAAAAATGACATGTAGCATCTTTGCGTTAGAAATCAATCCTGTCTCAAAGCTTGCACTCAGCAGTGATGTGAAAGGAAATGCCAGCCCAGGTCTGAAGGGACATAGAGCCAACACTCTTGGGACTTTCATTGAGTCCTCACTCTTCATTCTGACAGGAAGAGGACACATGCAGGAATGTGACAGTGACTTCAAAGCAGGTCTGGCCAGGAACAGAATACTCACAGTGGGCACCAAGAGGGGAAATGGACTTACAAGTGAGGCCGCAGCGGAGAGCCGTTCTCCCACAGCCACGGGTCATTTTTTTTCTTCCGATGCAATCCCATCCAGAATGGCGAGGTGGAATGAGAAGTTGCTTGCAAGATGAAGCTCTGTGGAAAGACACCACTCTGACTTCAGATTCATCAAACTAAACATAAAAAAGATCTTCAACATCGCTTGGTGGTTTGATGACAATGCTTACAGAAGCCTACTGAGACTCTACATAGCCTGCATGCCCAAGGCCAAGTATGCAATCCGATCAGAAAAAACAACTATTTCCCCTCTCAAGCAAGTGTTCCTCCCTGTGGTGACTTGAAAGAAAATTGCCCTCATAGAGAGTGGAGGTGTTGGAATAGGTATGGCTCAGGTTTTACTTTGGGTTTTCAGAAGCTCAAGCCAGGCTCAGCGTCACTCTCTTCCTGCTGCCTTCGAGTTCAGATGTAGAATTCTCAGCTCTTCTCTAGTACCACATCTGCCCGTGTGCCACCATGCTTCATGCATGCTGATAATGAACCAACCCACTGAAATGTAAGCCAGCCCCAAGTAAATACTTATAAGAGTTGCCATGGCATTTATTAACAGCAAGAAAACTCTAAGATATTCCCCCAGAAACCTAAGCCTGATTCGTTTTTCTTTTCCTAACCCATCACCTATTGCCCCGTCACCCCAAATGACTCACCAGATCATCTATGCTATTAATTTGTAGCAACTGTGCATCCAAAGACAGGCAGTTTTCTTGGCTCTTTGCCCAGGAGGACTGTGCAGAAGAGAACAGGTAACAGTGTTCTTTATGCCATAGCCAGTTTTGTGGACAAGGGCCTAGGTAGTGATAATAGAACAGATGAGTTCTAAGTAAATGCATTTCTCCATTTCTTCCTCAGAATGATACTCAGATCCTGCAAATACCAGAATGGCCAGAATCTTTATTTCCTCACTGTTGGATCATTTTTTTTTACACCTCATTTTCATTTAATGTGTATGAGTATTTGCCTGCATGCATGTGGTACTCTCAGAGGGTGTCAGATTCACTGGACCTGAAACTGCAGTTATGAGTTGCTATAAGGATGCAGAGAACCCAATATAGGTGCTCTGGAAGAGCAGCCAGTGTTCGTAACCACTGAGCCAACCTTCCAGCCCTTATTTTCCTTTATACCTTTTTTATGCTACTGATAATAGATTTTTTTCATACAATGTATTTTGATTGTGGTTTCTCCATCTCCAACTTTTCCCAGTTCCTTGCCCTGTCTTTAAAGTTTATAAAGAGGAAGAGCTAAAGCTTTCTGATTTTAGTAAACTGGGTTGACTCTCCATTTAGCATTTCATTTCTCTTCCTATGCAAGCTTGTAATTTGATTTTTTTAAGTTTTGTTTGAAATTATGAGAACCAGAGTTAAAGAAGTGGGTTTTATTGGCCATTCTGTTATTACAAAGATAGACATGCATTAAAAAACTTTCTAATTTTGTTATTTCTCCTAATAAGAGAATTAGTTCTGGCTGTTTTGTCTCCTTTTATCCATGTGTTGTCCAATACAGCTCTTAATGTGGTTTCAGAAATGAGGTGAGTTTGCAGTCACCCATGCTTGCATTTAAAGCACGAGTGTGATTTTGAGAGCTTCATGAGAGTCATACTAACCAACCCCTTAAGAACCTCAAAGGTTCATGGTAAATTATTATTTTAGATGTTTTGTTTAAGTAAACTATGTAATTGCAATTAATTCCCTGTTTCTTTTTCTTTCTTTAAACATGTTCTTGCTAGAAAATTTACTGTCACATAGTAGCTCCCATTCTTTTGGACAGTTTGATTTAGGTAGAATGTTGTATTGGTATAAAATGAGCATTCTCAATTTCAGTAAATAAGGATGCTCTCAGCAGCAAATTTTCTGGGGAATCCAGTAAACTCATCTATGGGAGAAGGCAGTAAGTAGGCTAAGGTGTCAACACCTACATGCTGACAGCTCCCAAATTGTCAACATGGTCACCACCAGCTTCATTGTGATGGTGATACACAAAGAAACTACCTTTTCCCCTAGATAGCCAAAATGGGAAAAAGTCCTTAGGAAGAGTAAAATTATGACTTCAATTTCCATTGTGGTACAAGCCCACCTGATAATTTTATACAAACATGCTGTACAAGGAAGGCAAATGTAGACCTAAAAAATGGTTCATGCCTGCAAACCCCACACATAGAAGACTAAAGCGGAAGGAATTCCTTGAGGTCAATGCCAGTCTGGTTTACATAATGAGTCCCAGGCCAATCTGGGCTACAGGGTGAGAATCTATCTAAAACAAAAGAAATAAGACAAAACTATAGAACAACAAAAATATGTACATAAAGGATAGAGTGAGAAGTTCTGGAAAAAATGAAATCAGAAAGTAAAGTAGAAAGGGAATGCCTGAGTTTAAAGTACGGTGTGAATTTCCTTCAGAATTTGTCTAGCCCCATCACTGTAAGTAAATGTAAACAAATCTGCTTTTTGTGGACTAAAGAAACAGTCTAGCCAACTTGTCTATATGATAACAAATTGAGAAAGGCATGCTTCTCTATGTGGTATTAAATTTAACTACATTTCTCTGTGTGTGTGTGTGTGTGTGTGTGTGTGTGTGTGTATGTTTGTGTGTGTGTGTAATAGCATATAGCATCTCCCATTACATACAAAGTTTAATGAACGTAAATATAATTTCCCAAGTGCACAAACTGTTGGAAGTACTTCAAATATGTGTACTCATTTAAGCCTTGTATAACTAGGAGATTGACTCCACTAATGTCTTCATTTGATAGATCAAGAAATCAGGAATTTGAACCTAATGTTGATTGTGCATTTAATACCTGTGATAGTGCACCTTGATAAACCCTGGTTGTCAGCTTGCTTAGATCTGGAATGAACTGAAAGCCAAGCTGCTGGGCATGCCTGTGAGGGATTTTCTTAATCAGGTTATCTGAAGTGGAAACTCCCATAAATATGGGTGCCCTTCCTGTGGCAACACAGAGATGGGGGAAGAAGGAAGTTTTTCTTTGTGCCTGTGTGCTCTCACTCGGCAGGCAATGTTCATTGATCACACAGCTGAATTCCTCTCCTGGTATTATCATCAGCCTCTTCCAGCTTTGAAAATAGACTGCACATCAGTAGCTCTTCATTGCTACTCCAGGTCTTTGCTGCCAGACAGCAATAGCTGAGACATCCAGCCTCACAGACTAAACAACTGCCAAATTCTCCACTCACCCAGTTTGAGATATTGTTCTATTCCTCAGACACATTATGCAAGCAAGTCTAATAAATCCCCCTTTAGTACTTACTCATCCTGTTGGTTCTGTCCCTCTTGAGAACCTAATACAGCTAGAGTAGTACACACCCTCTCTAACTTCTCTGAGTATAAACTAATTAAGGAAGTATTCTGCTTTGGCCTCAGAGTTTGGGGGCTTATATGGAACCTGCCATTTTTATCAATCTATTTGTATAATTAAAGACAAAAAAAGCACCAATTCTTATGTTAAATGCACAGATATATCTTTCTGAAGACCCTGCATTTCCTTAGCTTCCAAGTAAATCATCCCATCGGTCTATTGTGGACTACAGACCTGTCAGTAAGACAGAAAGGATTTGCCTCAAATTTGAGAAAATTAGCATCATTTTTTTCCACTTGGTATTTCTGTAGAAAGAAAAATAAAAAACCCAGAGACCAATATTGTGGTTCAAGCTTCAAGGTGAAGATCAGAGAAACAAAGCAGCTAAGTCTGTAGGTCTTATCTCTACCAAGCTGAAATGGCAATCCTGTCTCTACTAATACTCAGAGGCAAAATCTGTCAGTTCCTGTCCATTCTGCCTTTTATTCCTCTCTCCATCCAACCATGTCACTCCTGTCTCCTCCTCCTAGTGCTAGGAATTAAGGCATGTGAACAAGATTCTGAGATCACCTTGTGTAAGTCGTTTCTTTTAGGACTAGATCAATTTCATGTGGTTAGTATGGCCTTGAACTAACAAAGATCTGTCTGCCTCTTAATCCTGAGTCCTGGGATTAAAGGTGTGTGTCACCACTGCCTGACCTGTATAACTTGCGGCTGACTTTGCTTTCTAAATACTCAAACAAGTTTTTAATAAATCATAAATAATATATCACCACAGATTTCAGAATTATGATATTTTCATGAGTGTCCCCTTAAAGCAACATGAGTATGATGGGAGAGGTCATTCTGTAAGTATGTTTATCTTATAGGACAGCAAGATAGTCAGGTCTAGGTGATGAGGAGGGATTCTGGGAGGTGTAGGCAGAGAATCAGTCGCCATGTACAATGCCAGAGGAGTAACAGATCCAGAGGAGTAACAGACACCCAGACCTTTATCTGATGAGACCACGTGGAAATACTTAGACTAATAGAAATGGGTTAGTAATTAAGACAGAGCTAGCCAATAAGAATCCCTAGTCATTGGCCAACAGTATTATAACTAATGCAAGTCTCTGAGTGCTCATTTGGGGCTGTTCCAGTTGTGGAGCCAGGCAGGCAGCAAAGAATGCTCATAACATGAGTAAAGCAGAAATTCATCTGGAAACTATTAATTGGCCATAATTAACATTTCAAGGTAAGAAACAAAGGGCATCATAATATATATGCCAGGAAGGGGCATGTGAATTCTGTGTCTGATCCACTGTTCATGTTTGGCATATCTAAGCAAAGTTTCTTTATGGTCCTGACACAGATTGAATCCCACAAAATTTGTAGCACATAAATACAAAACTGTTATACTGCTGTGTCTCTAAAATAACCCACTAGTTGGGATTTTCACTTTCTTAATATTTAAGCCTGCTTCCATTAAACATGGTTTGAATTGCTGCATCCCTTGGTTTATTGAAAGATTCCCTACCTAGGAAGATTAAATATATTTTTGACACTATTCAGAGGTCAGTTTCTCCAAAAGTTTCTGAATACTTTGCAAAGTTAAATTATCTCTTTCTCTCTCTCTCTTTTTGGTTTTTTTGAGACAGGGTTTCTCTGTATTGCTTTGGAGGTTGTCCTGTAGCTTGCTCTGTAGATCAGGCTGGCCTCAAATTCATAAAGTTCCACCTGTCTCTGCCTCCCGAATGCTAGGATTAAAGTGGTGCACCACAAAGACCCAACTAAATTACTTCTTTCATACCCAAATGATTTATTTATTTGTTTGTTTGTTTGAGATTTCTATGTAGCCAAGCCTGGAACTCATTATGTACACAAGGCTAATTTTAAACTCAGAGATCTGCCTGCCTCTGTCTCCCCAATGCTAGTATTAAAGGCATACACTACTATGCTGTCCATCCCACAATGAGAGATGCACTCTCACCCTGGACTCTTGGGGGAGGTGCTAGGCCCTGTCCTAGATTAAATGACAGACTATGGACACCCCATGGAAGAACTCACCCTCCTTGGGGAAAGGAGGGGGTATTGGGTGGGTGGTGGGAGGGGGTGGGAGGAGGGGAGGGAAAGGGAGAGGGACGTGAGATTGACATGTGAAGAAACCTTGTTTCTAATTTGAATTTAAATTTAAAAATAAAATTTTTTAATATTAAATACAAGAAAAAGAAAAGAATTATAACCTGAGTAACTTTACATCAAACCACTCCTAACCATTACTTGCAAACTCTATACTGCTCTCAATATCTTAATATACAATGAAAGCATGACTATTCACATATAAATATACAATCTTTACTCAACAAAGCTGCACAACTGAATTGTTAGTCACTCAAGCAAAAAGTTGGAGAAACATGTTTTTGAATGGCACTTAATTGCTAATCCTGAGAAGAGCACTCCTGTTCTTGCATTTCTGGAGAAGGGAAATCTGACTCTGTCACACCTAACTCTGTAATTAGAAGTCACACCTTATGATGGGGATGTCCTATCTGTATTCTGTGAATATATGTTTCTCTTATTGGTTTAATAAACCCTGATTGGCCAGTAGCCAGGCAGAACAAATAGGCGGGGCTACCAGATGAATAGAATTCTGGGGAGAGGACGCAGAGGGTAAATTACCAGAGAGACGCCATGTAACTTCTGGGAAGATAGGGCCCAGGACATTCTCCAGTAAGATAGGGCCATGTAGAAATATATAGATTAGTAGTTATGCATTAATAACTAAGAGAGGGCTAGCCAGCAAGAAACCTAAGCCATAGGCCAAACAGTTCATAATTAGTATAAGCCTCTGTGTGTTTATTTGGGACTGGAGGGCAGCAGGACCAGGCAGGAAAGAAACTTCATCTACAACTTTATTTCGTTACACAGTACAAAAATACCTCAGTAATGCACAAAGCTTCTGGATGAGCACAGAAGGTGACAGTGTAATCTAGTCTTTGTCTGCCTCCCCTGTACATTCTGAATCCCTTTAGACACATGAAATCATCTCAATGCCTATATAAATTCACTTTTGAGACCTCTAATTTTTGCTCAACCTAAAGTACTTACCTACACCTTCCAAGTCAACTGACCTCCACTGGTTGTACTTAGAGAGATGTAGTGCCCATCTAAGAAACAGTGTCCCAGAATGAAGCTAACAGGGGATGTGGGGTAAAAAATTGCAATGACAGGAATATTCTCAAGGGCAAGGGAGCCAGCAATAAGACACATTTTCAGGGAAATAATAACCCATCTGTGGTAGTGGCAGTGATGGGACAGGATGGCACTTCTACACAAACCTCAAAACTCGAGTTCAAAAGAAAGAAGGAAGAAAATGTTAACCCCATGAGATGTAGAGCTCCATCAGATTAGAGGTGTACAAGGCTTAACACAGGCTAGAGTAGAAATGGCATTGACTGAGAGCTTATGTAGAACACTCTGAAGCCATGGTATCTGTGTGGGGTGGTAGTTTTATAAAGCCTCATTGAGACTGAACAGAGAACACCCATCTCAACACCTCTTCAGTGCTCCTCCCCTGTACCTGAAAAATTTGCAGTTCTCTGCAGGGCTTTTTGGAGGTTCAGGTTCTGCTGCAGGAGTTCCTCCTGTTCTTTGGTTTTCTCATTCAGCTCCCAGGTGAGGGTGTCTATTGTTTCCTTGAGTTTCTTCTGTGAAGCATTTGCTGCCTGCTGCTGGGCTAAGATCTGTTCCTCCAGGATGTGTTCCTGGTGAGTAAGGTTTGCTTGGTATTTCTTTAGGAGTTCGGTTACCTGGAGTACTAAAGCATAGAGAATTAAGACTCAGCCTCTCCTCTCCAGTACAAATGCTGCCACTGGATGCGCAGGACACTAAAACACAGACTCAAATAATCTCTCCTGACCACAGATGAGTGTTGACAGAAATAGTTTATCCATTTGTACAACAATGGAGGAATAAGTGCCCTTGAAAGGCTGCTGCAATGCAGGGCTCAAGGGAAATCCACAGAGTTGATGCTTCCTAGGCTTTTTTATCTGCGGAGGTTAGGGGAAAAAGACACTCACACACTCTCTTGATGTTTTTTTCCAGATTTTTCTTTATACTTCTTTTGTATTCTCTATTCTTTGTTATCCTGGTGATTTCTTTCTCTCATTCTTGATTTTTTTCTTCTACCTCATTTTAACTCTGTCACTCTTGGTGTTTTACTTCTAGTCTATTTTAACTCTAACTTTATTCATTTTTCAACAGCTTGTATACTCCAGCAAAATCATTCAGGAAACACAAAATTTACAATGTGGTTACATTCTGCTCTTTAAGTGAATGTACACAAGCAAAAGACAGCAGGTTTTCCATATCCCTTACACAATTAAAGATTTTACATATGATAGGTAAAAAAGAAATGATCCAAGAACCCATATACATTCATAACTAAGCAACTGGTTATAGATTAACTATGTAGGCAAGCAGGATATTCTTCTCATCCATGTCTTTTACTGTCAGGCTGCAGCTTTGCAGTTACAAAGAAAGAGCCAATTACTTTATTACTTATCTTGAAAGGCAATCTTATAAGGAATCACAAACCTAAACTTTTATATATGAAAAAGAATCAATCAACTCTACTTTAAATCTTTTGGGTGTATACCCACTCATCAATAGTTTCTTATAGCAGGAAACTGAAGACAGGAATGGGTACAAGGAATTAATCATCACCTTTGATTACCAACCAAACCTAGCAAGGAAAGTATGTCAACTAGCAACAGTTGGGCTGCTTTATATTTTTGACCCTAACCTAATCAATCTATAGTTCACCCACATGTTTTGGGGAACTTTAAATTGTTTTCTGGGATTTTTTTTTTGGTTTTTACGAGACAGGGTTTCTCTGTATTGTTTTGGAGGCTATCGGTCCAACCCAGCCTCGAACTCACAGAGATCCTCCTGCCTCTGCCTCCCGAGTGCTGGGATTAAAGGCGTGCACCACCACCGCCCGGCTGTTTTCTGGGATTTTTAATCACAAAACTATTATCAAAACATCTGATCTGATCTAACCTGAAGCTATTTTAAGGCTTTGTTTCAGCTAATGATGCACACCAAAACCTGTGACTGGAACGTTCAGCATTAAGAGAATTAGAGGCAGCTGGCCCCTAGAGACTCAAATGTTTTCCTTAATCATTAACCTGAACTACGATCTATGCAGTAACTTACGTGAAACTCATAGTCCCTAGCTGGTGACATTTCCTTGTATTTATTTTTATTCATCACTAACATTGTTATTATCAATTAGACAGTACAGCTTAGAAAGAATTATCTTAATAACAATCCAAAGGTAAAAATGCCCAGTATAACAGTATGTTTCATGAGATAAACACACTACATTACAGGCAGTGGGGATCTCCAGATAACCATTCATACCATGCCAGATACCAGAGGAAGATGGCAGGGGAAAACATCAGCAAAGCATAAAACACTCTTTGGCCAATGATCTCAGGGCCTTGTCTACCTGAGATTCACCCAACAAGGATTTTACTCTTGGTGGGCAAACACCCTGAAGTCAATTGCAACCTGCTGTTCTTCTGACCACCAGCGTGACACTGGTCAAAAGTTAGTCTGTCTAAAACTTTCTGATTATTTTTGCAAAGTTAAGTTACTCCTCTGATATCCCCAGTGTTAGGATTAAAGTGTGCCCCACCATGTTGGGCTGAAAAGACTTGTAATCTAAGTAACTTTGCTCTGAAACCACTCATTATCATTATTCATAAACTCTATCCTGTCCTCAATATCTTATTAACAATGAAGGGATAGCTATCTATAATCTCTAATTAACAAAACTGCACAACTGAATTGTTAGATACATAAACAAAAAATTTGGAGAAATGTGATTTTGAGTGGCACTTAATTGCTACTTTTGAGAAGAACACCCTCTATCTTGCACTTGCCAAGAAGGGATATCTGACTCTGCCACACCTAATTCTGTAATTAGAAACCATACCTTGCATGATTACACAGTGCAGAAAAAAAATCAATGACACATAATCTGTTCTTTGCCTGCCTGCTCCCTACATTCTGAATCTCTTTAGACATATGATGTCATCTCACTTCCTATATAAACTCACTTTGCAGACCCCTAATTTTTGCTCAGCCTAATGTACCTACCTACACCCTCCAAGTCAACTGACCTCCACTGGTTGTGCTTAGAGAGATATAGTGCCTGTCTAAGAAAGAGTGTCCCAGAATGAAGCTAACAGGGGGGGGTGGGGTAAAAAATTGCAATGACAGGAATATTCTCAAGGGCAAGGGAGCCAGCAATAAGATGCATTTGGAGGGAAATAATAATGCATCTGTGGCAGTGGCAGTGATGGGACAGGATGGCACTTCTACACAAACCTCAAAGCCCGAGTTGAAAAGAAAGAAGGAAGAAAATGTTAACCCCATGAGATGTAGAGCTCCATCAGATTAGAGGTGTACAAGGCTTAACACAGGCTAGAGTAGAAATGGCAATGACTGAGAACTTATGTAGAGCACTCTGAAGCCATGGTCTCTGTGTGGTGTGGTAGTTTTATGCCTAATTGAGACTGAACAGAGAACACCCACCTCCATACCTCTTCAATGCTCCTCCCCTGTACCTGAAAAATCTGCAGCTCTCTGCAGGGCTTTTTGGAGGTTCTGGTTCTGCTGCAGAAGTTCCTCCTGTTCTTTGGTTTTCTCATTCAGCTCCCAGGTGAGAGTGTCTATTGTTTCCTTGAGTTTCTTCTGAGAAGTATTTGCTGCCTGCTGCTGGGCTAAGATCTGTCCCTCCAGGGTATGTTCCTGGTGAGTAAGGTTTGCTTGGTATTTCTTTAGGAGGTCGGATACCTGGAGTACTAAAGCATAGAGAATTAAGACTCAGCCTATGCTCTCTACTACAAATGCTGCCACTGGATGCCCAGGACATTAAAACACAGACTCAAATAGTCTATCCTGAAAACAGATGAGTTTTGAAAAAAATGGCTTATCCATTTGAGTTACAATGGCGAAATAAATGTAGTTGAAAGGCTACTGGGAATTTGCCCAAAAATTATTCAGAATGTAGTTTTGTAATTTCAATTATATTGCAATTTTTATCAGTAATCATGTAGAGATTTCTGAATACAAAAATTCACAGCTTTATTTTTGTTGTTCTATGTATACCTTGGGGAAAAAATGTAAAGACAAAGGATGAGGCTGGGCTCCAGAGATCCCACCCCTAGTTGAGGAGGTATTGAGATGGTGGCTGGAAAGGGAGAGTCAGTTTGTTTTCTCCATGATGTGGCACCTGTGAGGCTACCTAAGCTCCAGCAGGTGGCCCTAAACCCATACACATACAGGCAACATTAAGTGGTTTAAAAATTAAAAGCAGAACCCATGAAATTCAGTAGAAAAGTGGTGCTGGGAGGAAAATGGGAATAGGTTTGATCAAAATGCATTATATACATCAGTATAAAATTCTTGAATAGTAATAAAATAAAAAATTTTAAAGTAGTGACAAGGTAAGGACTAGTATAATAGAACAAATACAGTAGTGGCACTCTGTAGTTGTTACATCTCCCTAGACTGTGATTCACAGGTCATTAGCATTTTATTCTGCTGAATTTCTCTTTAACACCTCCCACTCCGTCTACACGGCAGACTTCCTAATTTTATTTAGGAACTCTTGACATTTGCCTTCATTTTTAAGACAACCACCCATGAAATATTTGTAAATTTCTTTATGGTGTCACTGAGAGTGGATTTTGTTTTAGCCACAGAATAGTCTGGGATGGTGGAGACCAAAGGAATGTTGTGTAATTGAGAAGAAATGAACTCTGTTCTAGGAACTCAGCTCAGTTCTAGTACAACTCACCGCTGACCCTTTGCTGCAAGGCCTACTCTGAGCCTGCTGGATGGTGATGGGCTCCTTACTACCAGCTACCGCTATCAAGTGGTATCCCCTGCCCCATCATTAGGAAAAGCCTCAAGTGTCCAGAGACAATATAAAACAAACAAACAAACAAAAACAACCAAAACACCATTACACCAACTTAAACATGTAAGAAGCAAGTGGTGCTTCTGCGGCTTTACATCTTGGATCCTGGCTGGCAGAATAACTCAGTCCCAAAACCCACTTGTGCAGGCAGATGCAGGGAAAATATTATCTTTCCTTTTGACCACTCTGTTGCTTTTGGTCATGTGTTCTTTTCCCCTTTCAATATCTCCACTTTGCTACGAGTTACAAACTCAAAGCACATTTTGCTTTTGGAGTTTTCCTTATTTTAGTAGGGCAATTATGATTCTTAGCATTTAGTCAAATTCATCAAAACAAAACTAAATGGGATTTCTTTTCCTCTTGAGTTGCTCTGATGACCCTATGTATTAGAAACTTCAAGTTATTATCCAAGTATTCTGGGATGTAAACAAGCTCCTCCATGAAATTATGAAGCAAAACAAAAACATTCTACCATGAATAATCTCCCTTCCATACCCCTCTCCAGTGGAGGGAAGAACACAAAATATCCATTAAATGCTTGGCTTCCTCTCAAAGCTTTTATCCCTAACTGAATCTAAATATAGACTGAACTATAGTCACTATGAGTTGTGTTCATTACTCTCATAGTCCGCCTCCTTTTCCCTATTTAAATACTTACATTGCATCCACTGTATAATAAGAGTCACGGATAACCCCACGCAAAGGATGACCAGAGTCATAGCAACAGGACACCACCATGGGGAGAAAAGAAAACGCAAACCTGCAGGGAAGGAGAATCAGAAAATTGGAGAAGACATAGGCAGGTCATCAAGCCTGGGTCTGCATCCTGCCTGTGCCCTGTGCTCTGCACCCCTTAGTCCCCTCCCCAAACCCACTGGTTCTGCATGTGTGCAGGTGGGACAATGGGTAGCTATGGAACTGAAGTCAATCACTCACAGACTCACATGGGAAAAAAAATAACAGTTAGGGCTCAGTGAGGTATCAGAGACTAAATTCTAAAGCTTTTACTTCTATGCACAATGCCCTTTGAGGAACCCTGAAGGCAACCTAACTTCATCTACGATGCAGAAAGTCTGACATTTACTTCCACATATACACAGGTATTTATTAGTAACATTATGCAAACAACTGTCAGATGCCAAGCAAAATATTTTAGCTGGTCACCTGAGATTTTTCTCAAGAACTTCTATGCCTAATATCATGCCATTCGATTTTTATTTCATTGAAATTACCTCTTCCAGTTGGAGTTATTAACCAAAGAAAACTAGGAATGAAACCTTGTCATGCACTTGACTCATAGTAATAGTCTGCCTTGTACTTATGTCAAATGTAGTAACTCCCCTACAGTAAATAGAAAAAAAAAGCCTAAAGCTCACAGTATGGCAAGAGATCATTTGATGTTTCCTCCCTGAAGTATATCGAGTCAGTAAAAACTCTTACTCTAACTGGGATTGCAATAATTACGGAGGCAGATGTGAAGCAAGCTTCAAGTATCTAGGCCTATTATTCCCAGAGAAAAAGTTGCCTTGTTTTTTGCAAACAAGTCACACAGGTCTCAGACATGAGAATGTACAGTTATGTATTCCAGGATTGAATAACCACAGGCAATACAGATTCTAAGAGGAAAACATCACACACAATGTGTTTGGTTTACTTCCCTTGTAAGATAGACATAACACTGATAGTATTCTCCTCTCCATGTAAAGAAGAAACCTAAAGCTTCAGTCACTAGCTTGAGAGCACACATGTAATAAATTTAAAAGGCAGGTCCTTGGGTTTTATTTTGATCTTGCTTGAGACAATGTTTACTTTGTAGTTCACACTGTCTTGGAACTCACTAAGTAGCCCACCCAGGATGGTCTCAGACCGGTGAATCCTCTTGCTTCTGCCTCCCTAGTGCTGGGATATCAGGGCATGCAGTACCTCATCTGGCTCTAAACATAGGCCTTTCGTGCAATAATTACAAGCCCCAGTGCTTGAAATGTGAATTACCAAGCTTTCAGTATGAATGTGGTAAGGGCCCATGTCAATCAACTGTCAAATACATTAGCAGGATTCTCATGTGCTTATAATCTCTGTGAGACGCTATAGATAATTTTTTTAAAGATAGAAATTGTCACCAGAGGAAATGCAGCCCATTCTCTGACTGAATGATTTCTGTGTCTGCATTTGAGATGAGCTGGCAGACAATAGAAGACAGTAATGTCTGTTACTAATAGTTACCTAATCCTGGCCCCTGGCATCATGTATCTACGGAAAAGAATACCTTTCTCTTTCACACTCCAGGATTCCTCCCTCATTGTATGCCCACAACTCTAAAGAAAACACCAATCCCCTGAGTCACCGATGTGAAAGGAAGACACAGGTTCCTATCAGCTACATGACACCTTCATCCAATCTCGGTGGTAGGAATTCATGGTGGTCTAATTCTTACCTGATTTATGGTTTCTAGTCAGAAAACAACTGTTAGTCAGTCAACAAACAAACAAACAAATTACTTTTTCAATGAATTTAGTGTCTCATGTATACAGTTCACAGGAGGCCACAAATCTTACAGGAGATATTAAAGAATTAGCATATTTATGGAAAAAGTCAGGCAAGAATTAGTTATTACACAAATAATGAATTAATGGTTGGACAAATCAATGGCAGGCATTGAGTCTACTATTAAACACCAGCACTTCTTCACATCAAGCTAGCTCAACTGCTGCTGGGTGTACAACTAAACACCAGCACTATCTTCATGCTGAGCTAGTTCAGTCACTCAGATATTAAATCACACTGTACTCACCCATGGAAATAGTCCAGTCTTGTTTATAGACACTGTCTGTCTTTCTTCCTCTTCTTATGTTTTGTACCCCCCCCCCACACACACAGGGTTTCTCTGTGTAGCCCTGGTTGTCCTGGAACTTGCTCTGTAGACCAGACTAGCCTGTTCCTGCCTTTAGAGTCCTGGGATTAAAGGCATGTGCTACCACTATCCAGTCTTTTTTCTCTTAATTTTATAAAATAATAGATGTTTTATCTGTAGCAGTCTACAGAATTGAGTTTGTCAATTAAACCTAAGTGGTTCAATTTACTGAATTGGCTAAACATAAATTATAATTTTTCACAGCAATAACAGGCAACAAGGTCTAATGTGACTGAATTTGCTTTAGATAATTCATAAAGCACTTCAATAACATATATAAAAATAATCACTGTGTGTTTTAAATGAATCCATTTCCTACAGTTCTTCATGAACTAGATTCTGCATATATGAGAATCCGTGGTACGATTTTGGCTCTACTGTATATGGTTCCATGAAACTAAGTGATTTTGGATTAGCTCTCTTATTTTGGATTAGCTCTCTGTAAAGGCAGATAATACCAGTACCACTCTTCAAACCTTCAATTTAAAGATCCAGAGAAGTCACTAATTTAAAGAGCCAGTATGGAGAACAGCCTACAGTAAAGATAGTAAAGATGTAGTACAAGCAAGTTATCATCTTGAATTCTACTTGTTTTTTCTTCCACATAAGTGGTATTAGTCTCTTGTATTTCCTGGCATTTGAATGTCTGCTTTCTAAAGCCATTCTCTAGTATGTTCAATTTCCATTTCTTAGCTAACCCTGGCATTCTGTCTCTCTAGGCATCCACCCATCCCTGGTACCTTTAGCCTTGTTGTGACATAACTTCTGATCAGGCTGCTCATTCACAGGCTTCATCTTGTCATCAAAAATCATTTCCAAATTCATGCCAAGAGTGAGAAACTGAAGGAGTCAAGGACCTCAGACAACTGCCAGTGGGTGAGCTTCTGGTGCTGTTTAAATAGTGACTCTTATCTAGCAGAGGATGACTCAGCTGTCGCAGGAGGAAGGGGAGACTTTGCTTCATATTGGAAAGTTGGCTAACACGAATTCTTAGGTTGTGTCTGTTGTGGGTGGGGAGAATGGTAATTCCAGCCCTGTTTCGTGACCTTTCACTAAGAAAAAGACAGTAGGGAAAAATGCACTGTCCATGACAATTATAGGAAAGACACTGAAGACTTATCAGATAAGGGCTTGAAACTCAAAGGAAGCACATACTTCAAGCTATGTTTGTAGAAAAGAATGTGACTTCATGGTCCACATGTATCTGTTTGCCGATTCCCTGAAGCCTATTGTCACTATATGGTATATTTTTATAAGTAGTATGTTTTGCTTCTTATTGATTGAATTGGCAATTAGACATGTAACATAAATCATGTCAATCATGTAAGATTAACATTTTTAGCCATGGTACCCTGGCTACAGGACTTGGTAGGGACATTCTTACATACAGTGACTTCAAGCAATAGCATGAGCGCATGGAAACTAAATATAGTAAGTGTTTGGATTTTCTCCTGGGTTTGTCATCTTGGAGAAATACTTTTATTGAATATATATATTTGTCTGTGATTTGAGGATAATGTATATTTGGTAATGTTTCAATTGTCAGGTATATTGTCATAAGTCATTAATTCCAGCACTTGGGGGCGGTGTACAGAGCCAGATGGATCTCCATGAGTTCAAGGCCATCCTGATCTATAATACTGAGTTCCAGACCAGCAAAGGTAAGCTCTGTCCCCCCAAAAATTTTAGGTGATAATGTTACAATAGGAACTTAAGAGATATTGTGAAAAATGGCAAGCTTTGTAGTTGAAGCATAAAACTCAGAAATAACAGTTAAAACTATGGTTAATTGTTATGCCCAGGATAGTTAAATGGATCAGAAAAGATGATGTTTTAGTTTGAGCCATGCACCCTGGGCTTTTTATACTTATGCCTGTTGTTAGAATCTTCATCTGGTTTTCTATCATGAAAAGATATATCTCTTTGAAATTATTTATATATTTTTAACATGTGTGTATGTGTGTGTGCACGCTTGTGTATATGCTTGTATGAATGCACAACACAGGTGTAAATGGAGGTCAGAGGATAATGCAGGTGCTGGTCTCCCACTGTTTAGGCAAAGGTCTCTTGTTTGCTGGTACGTGCTCTAGGCAAGCTGATCTGCAAGATTCCAGGATCCTCTCCTATCTTTGCCCTCCATCTCACAGTAAGAGTATTGAGATTACAGACAGGTGCGTCTGCGATGGGCTTTAGATGAGTTCTGGGGATGCTTACTCCGGTGTAGCCCTTTTCAAAAGGAACCCCTTATCTACTGAACATGTTTTCCGGAGTTTGTGTTTATAAGACTCTGCAGTAGATGAATTTTGTTTTAAACCACTTAGAGGAAAAGCAGAATGGGGAAAGGGAAAGATAAAAGAAGAACGGGTAAGGTATCTAGGAAGTTACATAGGAAAAAACCACCAATACTGACACTGTATATAGGATTCCATGTTCTTCCTTCATGCAAGCTTTGTGTTTTCCCTATTCCTATGTAGGATATCCAGCACAAGCTGAGAATGACTTATTAGCCATTTAAAGTTTCCTTCTATTACAAGGTTCACAAAATAGCCCACAGAGCCAAGACAACCTTATCAATTATGTGCGTTAAAAAAAAAATCCCAATGACTCCCTTACCTACTCCCTACCCCTTTCCTATCCAAGGAGTGAATGCCAGGAATTGAATACATTCCTCAATTTCCGAAGTGGCCTTTCTACTTTCACTTTCACTAAGATTCAGTAGAATCTCAGGAAATTTCTTATAATAGTGAATTAATAATCACTGAAATGGCAGTACAATGAGAAGGACACTTTACTGTCCCCACAGTGACTCAATTATCTCAGACATCACCAACATTGAGAACTATAAAGTGTACAATGACTGCTGTTTTAACTACTGTAGATGAACTGCTTAATGTGGTGTTAAGTACATTCACATGGTCATACAGCTGTCACCACAACCCAGGACAATGCTCCCTTTTTCTCTAGCTGAAGACATACTCACAGTTCCTGTGGTGGTTCATTCTATTCCTGCCTTGTCTGGATCACTTGGTACCTAGACAGAGCATTTGGGGATGGAGGCTATGTTGTACACCTATTTCCTCTGATTTGAAACATTTCTTTGTGGATGGGGGAAGGGTGGGATTGATTGCTTGGTCTACCCATGTTTCCCCATCTGCGGTGAACAGATTTTGATCACATCTTGCCATGAAAAGTCACACAGCAGATAAAAAACAATCAACCAGGAGAGACAGTCTATTTATATTTTGGGTGACATTCATTCAAAATCCGAAGGCCAAAAGAATAGTAGCAACTGTCTTCCTCTGTGTACGAGGCATTCTCTAGCAGATGGCCTTTGGGCTTCAATTTCAGCACCAGCTCCTTCTGGTCTTCACACTGGCCTTTGGACAGGAGTCAGACCCTCCTTGACGTTTCTGGATCTTCAGTCTGCTGTTGACCACTCCCTGTTCCTCCTTGAAGTCAACCCTGTATCTTCTGACCCTTGAATTTTGATGCTGTATTTTGTATTGGATATCTAAATCCATAGCAAGCTATCCGAGGTAATCAATGCCCAAGGAGGAAGGGTTTAGGTTGTCTCCTGGTTTCAGACATTTCATCAATTAATGGACGGTATCTCCACTGCTTTTGGACCTGTGGTGAGGCAGAACATTAGCATGAAAAGATGCTCAACTCATGGAGGTAGGGAAAGAGGCAATCACATTCAAGGACCTGCTCCTTGAACCTCTCTTTGGTCCTACAATCTCCTAACAGTGGGCACAGACTGGCAACCAGTCCTTCAACACTTGAACCTTTAGTGGGCATTCAATCTCTGGTACCTCAGGGTAGTAGAAAAATCCACCAGGTTTCCTTTTATGTGTGACTCAGTTTACTGAGAATTGTGTCTTCAAGGTCCAAACCACATTACAGCACAGCTTAGAATCCCCTTTCTTCGTGTAGAATACCTTATTTTATTTATATTTTCATCTGGTAATGTGAGTTTATTCTCCACCCCCCCCCGTGTGTGTGTGTGTGTGTGTCTTCAGGGTCTCACTGTGTAGCCCTGGCTTTAAACTCACTAAGTAGATCATGCTGGGTTCAAATTCACAGAGATCCTCTTGTCTCTGCCTCCTAAGTGCTAGAACTACTACAACACTGGGCCTTTTCTCTTGCTCTTAAACCTCCACAGGGATAAGTTTCTGAGAAACTATAAAGACTATATAAGGAATGCAGGATGTTCCATGACTCCTACCTCCTGGTGTCATGCCTTCTCTTTGAGCATGTGTTCTCAGAGCTATAATTCAAAATGTAGCAAAGGTCAAAGAATGCAGGTGATCATACACAAGGAATTACTTCAGGCACATGAGGAGTATGCTGTAGCCTCTCTTCTCCTGCGTCTGTCTCTGTGCTCATCATTAACTTTTAAAGAACCATTCCTTAGTTGCCTATAGTTCTTTGTCTATAAGTGGGGTCCTGGGAGACTTCTCACTCCCACGTCTATTGGGGTTGTCCTTGTTCAGGTCTAGTTTAGGCACTGTATTTTTAAGGTACCATGAATGGTGCTAATGCTGAGAGAGGAAAAATAATCTTCTCCAAGAAGAAGACCCCTCATTGATTATTCAACATCAAGTGGTCAGTCCTCAAACCAACCAAGCATGTACATACAAGTAATAATAAGTGGAATGAGCAGGATTTATTTTATTATGTAATTATATTTCAGTTGAAAGGTTTTTTAAAGCATTATTATACTAATCCTAAAGCCACTAAGAGATGCATTCTTCCTGAGAGAACTTGCAAATGGGTCCTCCGCCATGATAGCCTTCACACAAGAATGCTGCTGAAGCAGACACTTTCATCTCAGCCTTGTGGAAACCCAAGCAATGGACCAGATAAGCTTTATACACAAATCTGACTCTACTGTGAATGCTAGTGTGTGTGTGTGTGTGTGTGTGTGTGTGTGTGTGTGTTGCTTGCCCTCTACTGTTGCTCATACAATTTATAGTAATGAGCTACATGGCATATAAACCATACATCCTTTGATAAACTAAATCCTTCTGTCTTGTTTCACCTCCCTAAGCTTAGCACAAAGCTGTGAGTTTGATCACCAACACTACACAAAGTGGCACATGCTTGTAATGCCAGCACTGGGAAGGTAAAAGCAAGATCAAAAGTCAAGATCGTCCTTAGCTCTATAAAAAGTTTGAGGTTAGACATGAAACACTGTCTCAAGGGTGGAAAAGCCTCCTGTTTAATCCTGTTACTAATTCTCAATGCGTCTGTGGTTTGAATTCAATATCTATGCTGTGATCTTGGCTCCTGAAACAGAGACACTTCCTAGTGAAGCACCCAGGAGTTTGAGAATAAAACTGACTTTTGCCACCTTCTCTATTCTTGAAATCACGGTTGTGACCCAACCCACTGCTCAGCCATGTGCAGCTTGATGTTGGTGGCTCAGAGTACCAATAGTCCTGATTTCTGTTTTACTGAGGCATAGAAAGGAAGGAGAGCATGGAAGGGGTGCACCTGCCAGCCAAGGTCAAAGAAGAATAATCAAAGGAACCACAAGGTAGCAATTCTTTTGCTACACTTGTTAGAACGGTTGTATAACAACTCCCCCAAGTGCAGGTCTGTGTATGTGTGCCTCCCACTGGCCCCAGTCCCAGCCCTTCACAATGTGAGTACAAACTAATGAGTCACAAGCTTCACGGAATGGGGTTATGTAGGCTGGTAATGAGAGTATTCCCATCTCCCTAGCTCCATGCCTCCCCCCATCCTTATGCCCTGTATACCTTCAGCTTTCTTCTCTAACTGATTTCTCCTCTGTCATCATTTCCTCCTGAAAGACTGTTATTCTAATGTATCACAGGGCAATGACACATTTGAATAAATAAATGAAGTTCTATCTCCTTGTGGGGGGCATAAGAAAAGAAATGGTAGCAGTAATTCTGACAAAAAACGACAAACAAGGCAGCCATTAACAGAAGCCTGTTTTGTTCAGGCCTGCTAAGAAGCCTGGGGGCAAGAAAGATGATTGCAATCATGGGGCTACAAATTGCCATGGGGAGAAAGCCAAAGTAATTGGAAAACCTGTTCATGCAGGTGAAGGCTGGCACAGGTAGAAGTAATAGTGGGGCTAGCCATGTGAACTGTTCAAGAAAAAAAAGAATCTAGGAAGAGGCTGGCAGAAAGATGGGATAGGCATAGTGGACATGAATGGTTCAGCGTGTTGGAAGGGCTATCACATGTAAGACAGAGCTAAATTAGAAGCATCTTAACCAACATCAAATGCTTGCAAACAGAACTGTAACATACACCACAAAGACTCATGTTTTAGTTTGTAAAAGTATTTTGTCCTTGTGTATGCATCCTCACTGCACACCTGCCTGGCTCCTAAGGAGGATAGGCGTCAGATCCCTCTGGAACCACAGTTGCAATTCATGAGTCGCTGTGTGAGTGCTGAGAGCTAGACTATGCTTTTTGTGTCACCTCAAACTGAGCTGTCCGATAGACGGAAGGCCTTTCACAAGATCCCACAGCTAATGAGTGGTTAAACAAGTAACTGCCCCAGCCACCTGGGCTGTGCTCTTAGCTAGGGTTGTTTACCATGTCTCCCACAAGAAGAGGAAAAGGGAGGCGCTAATGGGGCTTTCCACTACACAGTGTTTAAATAGAAATATTCTACTCAAGATGCTTCCTTGCCCCTGATTTTCCTTTCTCTATGAAACAAAAGCTACTGCAAGTCCAGCCGTCATCCATTATTCTCCTAATATATGAGTGGGAGCAGTAAATAAAGCCCAGGCTTAGTGAAAGGCTGTAACTAACGTCCCCCTATCTAGTCCTCCAAAATACCTTCCGTCTCATGGAATTTTCTACTGAAATCTGGAAAACACTTTTCACTCAAGAGCCTATCAATGGGTAGACTTGGAAAGACCAACATTGTACCAGGGAGTTCCCTCGCTGTTTGCTTTCCTTAGCTGAGAAAAGGAAATTGTTTATATTCTGTGTTCCCACATCACATTGTCACAGTGGGATCGCATGGTTTGTGAGGCCTTGAGTATGATGGAGCTCACCCTGCAGCCTGCCCTCATCAGGACCTCACCCCTCAGCCTCCCCTCATTAATTAGAAGATAGCTGAAATGTGATTTTGTTCAGTCCCGTGAAATAGACATGTCACCGTGTAAAGTAACACTAAATGTTCTTTCGTATTACTTTGCCCTGGGTAAAGGTTTCCTGCTTAACTGTCAGGCATTCGTATGGTATTCTTTGTTTCCATACCTTTCTTTATAACCATTTTATATCCCTTCCATTGTTATGTGCTTATTTTTAGGTATGACTTTAAGTTTTATTTTATTGTGGCTAATATGTTTTTTGAGACAGCGATCTTGTTGCTTCCTAGGGTTTCCTGAACTAGACTCAAATGATCCCCTGCCTCAGCTTCCTGAGTGGATGGAACCACAATTGTACACCCTATGCCTGGTTCTTAAGTGGCAACATCACAACAGTGTGTTGAGAGTGGCAGATACCAGGAGAGACAGAGACACAGAGGGGGTTATCCTGGAAACCCGTTTTTTAAACTGTACGTCTAACCTGTTTCAATGGACTGAAACTGAAGTGGAATAGGGGCTGAGAAGACCAACAGCCCTGGGGGAGTGTTCAAACCCATCTCCTACTGTAAAGACAGGACGGCTTTCTGGCTCATTTGGAATCCCTCAGTCCTGCCGAATGGGCGCGATAAATGACCCAGAACAGGCAGGGTTGATTATCAACATAGTGAGGGGAGGATTTCAAGGAGCCAGAATGGGGATGCCAATCACATGGAGAGGGGTGGAGGGAGATTGGCAGAGTGACTTTCAGACTACAGCGGTCATCCAGGAGCCAAGAGTGTAACCTGATGAACGCAAGAACGCATCTGGTCACTCGCAAGCTGCCTTTGACCTATTTCAAATCCAAGTCTCTTGCTATAGACTGGGGGGGAAAAGTCTAATTCAGAGGACAAATGTGTCCTTTAATGCCTTCCCATTAGGGATATAGGGGAAAAGATGAAATGCACAGAAAGGTTTGATGATCGAAAGGAAGGGAAGAAGAAACGAGTGTGGAGACCGTGAGAAGATTAATAGAGAAAGCAAAGGAAACTAAATGGGAAGAGGAGGGAGAACTGAAATTTAAAGGCAAGGGAAGTAAAGGGAGAGGGATATTGCTGAGAAAACTTTCTCTTTAGGAATTCGTTACCATGAAGCTCCATGCAGCACTGAGCTTGGATAGGATACAGCAGATGCACCTGGCATGATCCTTCTGGACCAGGTGTGCAGCCTAATGGCAGCCCGGAGTGGAACGGTGATGGCCTCTGTCCTGGTTTATTTCATCCAGGTGAGTTCAGTTGTGAACTATGAGAAGGACCTTTCTTTTGCTTAGTTCTTTAGCTATACTGATTCTGGCAGGAGATGGATGGAGTAATGAACAGATGGAGACGGGAAAGATTGCCATACACTGTACCCTTGGTACAGGGAGTCTCAAAGACTGTGCCCCCTGTGTGTGTTGGGGGGGTGGCAGTGAGTGTCTGGGTGTGTGAATGAACAATGCGATGGAAAGAGGGACAGGAATTAGGACAATCAGGGATGGTATATGCTGCTGTGCCTGGCCTTAACAAGGGTGCTGAGAGTCAAACTTGGGTCCTCATGCCCGCACAGCAAGCGCACAGAGGACTCTTTAATGCTATTTGAATATTTTAAACCCTGTATTTCACCCCAAGGTGAAAGAGAAGCCTGTGAGTCATCCATTAGCTGAGGAAAGAATGGATAGACTGAGAGATTCTGGACAAATACTAGGGCCAAGTTCACATAGCTAGGAGGTCTAGCAGAGAAAGAAACAGTGCAGAAACTAGACTGGATTGCATTCCTATGCAAGGAGCAGACTGTCTGCTTGGCTTCCTACACAAGTTAACTGATATATACAAGTACATGTTTTCTTGTATGTTCTCTTGTCTTCCTCTTTTCCTTCTCTTTTTCCCTTCTTTGTTAACATCGCGTCCCTCCGTTTCTCTTCCTGTGTGATGAGTTACTGATATGTTGAAGGCTGAATCCAGTTTTCAACTGGGGAGGGACAAGGAAGACAACAGCAATGTCCCAGGGATGTGTCAGGAGGCTTCTAGGGTGACAAACTGATATAGAAGGCTGCCCATCATTCCCCAAGGTAGTGATGTTCAGCCACTGTCCAAACTCCAAGATCCCTGCCCTTCCAGGAACTTGTGCCCCGTGAGAAGCAGTCATGCACAAAGGGATGATCACTGTCGCCACCCAGTACAGACCAACCCTATGGCCCTGCCCTCATCTTTACAAGTCAGTCTGACTGAGCACAGCCCCAGGGGATGATTGTCAGGCTGCTGAATGCTGCAGATGTGACTGTTTCTCTGAGTGAGATTATTTCCTTCCCGCAGCTTCCTGGAGCCGGATGCCAGGAGAACTGTGTCAATGCTGAACAGTAAGTGTCTGAGAGTTCAAGCCTGGAGGAAGGAGAGTCAGACGAAGCACCAACACCCAAGCATAGGCTAAAACATCAGTACAAAGCTCTGACTTCCTTTTCTATTCAAGTGGGCACCACCTACCCGCACAGACATGTATGTCATCTGAAGTGCTCAGAATAACCCGGACAATAGCATTTTTTTTGTAAGCCAGTCTTCCCATCAACATAGCACAATTAGTTTAAATACATGTAGTCAAGGAGACCTGCAAATGGCTTCCTTTGCCGTGCTTTCCAGTGACTCATCAGGGCAGACTGGGTTCAACAGCCAGTCGCAGGCTTATCTGTTTGGGTGATTCCCGTAGCAGCGTGCCCATTTCAAATCCTTAGTGAGGGCAGACAATAACAATCCTGTTCATGCTAAAGAAAAACACATATTCCACTGTAGAATCATTTCCCTGAAGCCAACTCTATTGGATATGAGGGGAATTAAGCAATTAACGATCACTGTAATTTCTTGGCATGTGTATATTTGATACTGGCTATGTGACACTGAGGTTGTGGACAACTGTCACCATATAGAATCTAATATATAATTTGAAAGGCTTTGAACAAATGATAAATGTGGGAAGCAAGATGACACACTCTTCTAGGGAAAATTCGAACTGCTCTTTCTATGGGAATGTAACCAAATATGGAATTCAAAAATAGATCTCAATATACATTTAGTAGGAAGTGGTCTTCTAATTATTATTTTAAGGGCAAAGCATGTGCATCTTTAAAGACATACCAGTTCTTCTCTCCACTTCTGACTCTCAGTTTTAGTCTCTCCCACGTTGTCCCCCTTGCCATCCCTACAGAGAAAGTTTACAATTGCTGAAGCTCCTTAGCTCTCCTTGTGTGAAGCCGGCCTCTCCCTTCTCCCCCTTCCTGTTTTGTCTCGGTGCATAAACCCACCAGTTCTGATCCTAGATGTGAAAGTGTAGGCCCTTTTTAGGGGAGGATGTTGCAAGAGCTTGTGAAATATAAATTACAAATACAACTTTTTTGTTCCTTTAACTGATGCTTTCCTGATGTGTACATTTTATTGGCCTCACAAGCAAATAGATTTAATGTTCATGTCTGTTTTCAAAGCCACTCCTTAAAATTGTGTATGCCAAATTCTTCCTTGACAATTTCCATCATAGTAGCTCACAATAGTCCCGAGGACATTTTCTTTTCCTTTGCTTTCCTATCAGTTTGGAAAGAATAATGTTTCATCACAGCATTTTTCAAACAAAATTTGTTGATTGTTTCTCTTCTCCTTTCTGAGCCCCCCCATCCCCTAATTCTTTCCACAGCAACTTTTTTAATGCAATTTTTAGTGACTAACAAAACGATCTGCACAGCAATGCCACCTTTTTTATATATAAAACTCTATTCAACTAATTACATTGGATTTTATAAAAAGTATGTCTTAGCTGAGCATGGTAGCACACACCTTCAGTCCCAGCACTGAGGAGGCAGAGGTAGGAGGCTTGCTGTGAGTTCAAAGACAGTTTGATCTACAAAGTGAGTTCCAGGCCAGCCAAGGCTACAAAGTGAGAACTTTTTTATAAAAAAATAGGTCTTGATGTTTTTTAATTATAACATAGCATTAAATGTAACAAATGATTGTTGCAGCTCTCACTATTGATTTTTTAATATAATAAACTCCATTCTTTCTCCACAGTTGCCTGTCCCCGGACTGGGTACATCTCTGGTATGTATGGTAAGTTTGAGTTATATAATACCCTTAAAGAGACTTCCTTTTGCAGGTGCATTATGTTTTTAAGTTTTTTGGTATGCTAATTATTAGTATAAATAACAACAAAGCTATATTTCACAGTAGTTTCCTTAGTTCATCCCTAACCTATGTGACAATACACCATGATTTCCTAATTCAATATAATCTCTTCAGCCAATGTCAAGAAATTATAGTGTCCCCCCCCCCGCCCCCCGCGCAGTGAAATGAGAAGCAGCCCCTTCAAACTATCCTCAGTATTGTTTGCTGTCATGACTGACCTAGTCTTGCTGAAAAATCAGTGAATGATATATGCAAATGGAAGCCTTAGTGACTAGAGCCTTATTAGTGTTCTATAATAGATGAACAACAATCGAGATGAGACATTAAGGGATACTATGTCAGAGCTGGGAAAGCAGTTGACCACAGCTTGGACTTGACGGGTGGGCTCTTGCAGGTTGCTGGTGGTAGTTGGTGCATTGATTCTCCTGTGCGGCCTGACTTCCGTGTGCTTCCGCTGCTGTCTGAGTCGTCCCGAAAATGGGGAAGATGGGGCCCCACCACCCTATGAAGTGACCGTCATTGCTTTTGACCACGACAGCACTCTGCAGAGTACCATCACATGTGAGTACACTCAACTTAGAAGGCCAAGATGGGGGTCTCAGGCTTAAAGAAGTACTAAGGGTGTGGGGGTGTATGGTGAACTGCCAGCTAGCATTGAGTGGTTGGGAATTCAAAGTAATTTTAATTTGCAGAGCCCCTTTGTGTGGTGACCTGGGCTATCACTGATGCCTGTATTCTCAAGTTTTGGGCTGATGATAAATTGATGGACAAAGTAAAATACTGGAGCCAAGGTTCACATGGCTTTCTTCCTTCTTTCCTTCCTTGCTCTCTTCCTCCCTCCCTTCCTCCCTTTCTTGACCTCTTTCTTTCTTTCTTTTGCTCCCTCTCTCTCTCTCCCTCTCCCCCCCCCTCTCTCTAAGCAGGGTTTCATGTAACTTAGACTGACTTCTGATCCTCCTACCTCCCTCCTTCCCTCAGGAGTGCTGAAATTAAAGTGTGTACTATCACCTAGCTACATTCTCTTTCTTACATTTTTTTGTGTGCTTGGACTGGAACATAGAGCTGGATAATTATGTTACTGATGAGATCTCCTAGATTCTTAAATCATTTTTATTTTAAGAAATGGTTGTGCTAAATTGATCTGGTTATCCTTGAATTTACACTGCAGGTCAGGGAGGCCTTAAGCATATAATCCTGCCTCAGGCTCTCAGGTGTTTGGGATTACAGACCTGTACTACCTGGTCTGGTTTAAGCTATATTTTTATATGTTTTTTAAAAAATTGGTTGTTTCTTTGGTATTCTTCAAGCCTTGCTATGCTAAATTTTAACCCCAACATATCTTTGATGATTATGATGGGACTTTTACCTTTACCTTCTTCTGTTATGTGATATTTGTTTGTTTATATTTTGAATCAGGGTCATTCTGTGTAGTTCTGGAATGCCCTATATGGACAAGGCTGGTTTTGAACTCAGAGAATCACCTACCTCTAATCTCCTGAGTGCCAAGATTAAAGGCGTACTCCACCATGCCAGCTATTCATCTGTTCTTTATGAAATTATTATTTCCTAAATTCAAGGAGCAAATTCAAGTTAGAACGATAGAGGATAAGATACTGTGCCAATTATCATAAATAAGAGCAACATAACCTGTGACTAATGAATGACAAATATGGCATAAATAAGCATTTGAAAAGGGTTTGTGTCCTGTGGTGGTGGCAAACACCATTAACCCCAGCAGTCAGGAGGCAGAAGCAGGGGGATCTCTGTGAGTTCTAGACCAGCCTGGTGTGTAGAAGTGGTTCCACGACAGTCAGAGCTACACAAAGAAATCCTGTGCAAAAAAAAAAAAAAGTGGGATTGTAGCATTGGGAGTCTAGTATAGAACAAAGGGATCTAACTGTGAGGGTGGGGCTGGGGTGGAACTCAGGAGAATAGTCCTTGCCTAGCTTGTGTGAGGATGCGGGCTTGAATCCTAGCACAACAAAACTGGAAAAACCTGGAAGGAGGGATGAACTATGGAAAGGCAACTCAAATTATTCAGACAGCAGGGAAAGCAGGTTCTCCTGCAGGGTGTAAAGTTAATCATAAGTAGTCTTCGTAGGATTTTTGTAAACTTTGTCAACAGTTGTGACAATGAGTGTGGAAATAGTTTAAGAAAAAGAAAAGCTAGGTGTGATGTAAATCTCATTACCTTTGTGTGTCATCATCTCTACACCAACTGTCTTCTTCCCTCACAGCCCTGCAGTCTGTGTTTGGCCCTGCAGCTAGGAGAATACTTGCAGTGACTCACGCACACAGCTCCCTGGGCCAGCTACCCTCCTCTCTGGACACACTTCCAGGCTACGAGGAAGCTCTTGGCATGAGCCGCTTCACAGTGGCAAGGTGTGGGCAGAAAGCTCCTGACTTACCCTCAGTGCCAGAAGAAAAGCATCTGCCTCCCACAGCAAAGGAATCCCCCCAGATAGAACTCCCCTCCTACTGATGACAATATTGACGGTATTCCTAATAACAGAGGAATCCATGGAGTTCAGAAGGAGCCCCAGATATATATATATATATATATATATGTATATATATATGTATATATATATATATATATAATGTCTTCTTTCGTACCATCTGAAAGGTTCAGGATACCATCTAGACGTAGTTCTGTCAACAATGTAGGCTCTCACTCTCCATTTACAACAATAAGCTTTTTCTGACACACTGTTTTCTAATTGGAATTCTAACTCCTTATCCAACGGTCAAAGTTTGCAACTCACCTCTAGCTATACTGATTACCTCCAAAGCAGGAGAGCATTAAGGTGTCTTGAGTTCCTTCAACTGTGCCATGTTTGTAGAGTTCCTTTTGCTAAATGATACTGCAAGTTGCTTTTCTGTTTGACTGTGGTAACCTTGAAGGGAAACACAATGCAAGCATAGGCACTGACATCAGTGTACCAAACACATGTATCTTTTCTTCTAGGGAGCAACCACACTATGCTGAACAATAATGGCTACCTTGTACATCACATAATACCCACCTGGACTTGTAGATTGCAGGGCTGGGGGTGCTGATGAGAGTGGAGAGACTATAATACATTATATGCCACATGTCAAAACCTTTCTATCACTTTGGTTCTATATACAAATGTGAAACATGGCATAGAGAACAACAATGGTCCTCAAGCCTTGTCCTGCAAACACAAACACACACACACAGAGAGAGAGAGAGAGAGAGAGAGAGAGAGAGAGAGAGAGAGAGAGAGAGAGAGAGAGAGAGAGAGAGAGAGAGAGCTTGAGCATGCACCCTTTTTAGACTCCAGAAGAAGACATTGCTTTGTTTCTTTCCTCCTGTTTTCAGCACCAAAGTCTTCCACCATGTAAAATCTGGGCTTTAGGTGTGGCCCTGACTGCCACCTAGCGGTGCTATGGTTGATCATGCATTCTCTCCATTGAGCTCCTGCTGTGTGTCAGCAGCCCACAGTGACTCCACTGAGAATTACGTTCTGATCTGTCCTTTTGCCTGTCTGCTGTGTTATTGTAAAGTCATACCTAAAGTGACTTTATTTTATCAATAAACATGTCTTGATTGAAATAAACAGTCAAAAAATCTAAGTGATTCTTTAGAAAATGCTCTGAAAATGCAGGGGGTATTCGAGAAAACGTCTTGTTTTGTAGGTGACTGGCTGGGATCCTCTGGGGAGAAGATCAGACCCAGGAAACTACTGATTAGTGCTGCACCTCATTAAATACATTCTTGCAATGTTCACTGAAGCCTAGAGGGAAAAGAATTGTGTATGAGTGTAACCTGCTAGTGATCAGAATCACTGATCAGAATGCTATGGGAAGCTGTTGAATGAATAACTTGTTACCAGCACCTAAGGTGGCCTATTGTACCACCACCACCACCTCCACCACTATCACCACCACCACCACTATCACCTCCACCACCACCACCACCACCACCAAATAAACAATCTAGTCATTGTGAATTCTACAAAAATCTTCTTCACTTTCTACTCTTCTTTTTTCATCTTTTCTTTTGAGATGGTGCTTTGTTGTATAGACTAGGGTAGTCTCCAAGTTCCTATGGCAGTCAGCTTCCTGCCTAACCCTGCCACGTAAGAGGTAGGATTAAGTGCTAGGATTACAGAAGTATACCGATATGCCCCCCTCTAAGTCCTTGACCTTTCTTTGTTCAATATGATACAGATTTGAACAAATTAAGAGGTTGACAGGCATTAGAAATGCTGCAGTTTATTTCTCTCTTCAACCTAAGACATTTGTCAATCATCTCAGTCACTTTCATTATTGTTTTCAAGTTCTTAATCCTGTTTAAATGGCTTCATACCAATTTTTAAAACCTTAAGGCTTGGGTCAATGAAATTACATGATTTCTTTCCAGTGCCTACACTGCTGAACAATGCTGGAGAAAAAACTCACAGCTCCACTCATCAGAGGGAGGTTCACAGTCTTTAATATCTCCTGGGTCATGTAACATTAATGTCAACATTTTTAGGGTAACTTCTGCATTCCTTTTGATATACATTCAAATATCATGTCTCTCTTTTTACCTGGTATCTCTCAGTCAATCTACTAATTCTAGGTAGATGCTTGTCTTGGTTCATAAGGGAATGAAAACCATCATATAGCTTTCTATCCCATAACCCCAAGCATCTATACTCCCTGTTTCTGTAACTTTTTCTTTTCATTCCCGTTGAAATCGGTGTGCTTTCTCCTCCCTAGGAAAACGACTACTAATGGTGTTTTGCATTGCATTAAAACAGCAGGATCTTTCAAAACAAGAAGTGTTATTTAACAAATACCATGCCAAGAATAGCAAGAGCCTGCCAGGGAAAAAGAATGTGTGCAAAGAAATCTTTGATTCTCATCTCTCAACTTTTATTTTGAGAAATAGTCTCACAATGTTGACCAAGATAACCTTGAATTTACTCTGTAGGTCAAGCAGGCAGAGAAGGGAATGGAAACATACAGTCCTCCAGTCTCAATCCCTCAAATATCTGGGATTACAGACCTGTAGTACCATGCCCGGCTTACACTATATTATTTTACATCTTTAAATGAATTGATGATTTGCAGTTTTCTTCAGGTCTTTGATGATTGTGATAAGACTTTCCTGAAGGCCTGGACACAAAACCTGTGTTTAAAGGCTTAGGAAGCTGGAGTCTAATGTCAGCAGGTGATGGCAGGCTCATGTAGACATCAGAAAAGGAAGGGGCTTGTTCACTCTACTGCTCTTCTTGATTTGTTTTCATTCAGGCTACTAGCTCACTGGAAGGTGCTGCCCGCATTAAGAATGGGTCTCAGTCCACCATATAGTCACTGTGCTGTTCATCTCTCCCAGCATACACAGCCCTAGACATCTCTTAATACAGTCAACCTGGCAACTAAGACCAACCATAATAGTGTGTAAAAATAGTTTGTTTTGTCAGAGATTAAAATCACCAAATATTTGAAAGGAAGATGAACTAAAACTGCCCTCCATGGTGACAAAGTTTGGGATGCAGAGAAATACAGGGATATGAGTGTTGCAATGGGGACAGAGTCATCACATCACAGCAAGCTGATGAGTTCGATAAGGAAATGTGTGCCTGGAAAAGAACATTTTTAACCCCTTGATTGGTAAGGCTGTGGTTTGTTAAATTAAAACATTGTAAGGGCTTTTTTTTTTATCAGCATGCCAAGATGTTATATCTGGCTTTATCTGTTAGTACTGAGATGTGAGATTAACATGGGGTGGAGAAGACAAGGAATGATAATTTGGGGGCTGAATCTTGCACAATATAAATTGTGCTCTGGCTCTGGATCCCTATCAATACAGTTTTTATCAGGCAAACATATAGAAAAAAATTGCTAGTGAAATGCATAAAAAATTAATCTCAGTCAAGAATGACTTCCCTAAATAGAAAGAAAAACTAATGTGAGCTAATTCAATAAACCAGTGTTCCTTGCTACTGAGTGAGGAAAGTCTCAATATAGCATGCCCTTCTGATTCTTGAGATGCAGACAGGAGGATATACATGTGAAAGTCAGGTTAAGAGGCTTTTTTGTTTTGTTTTGTTTGTTTGTTTTGAGATAAAGTCTTACTACATAGACAATGTTGACCTTGGTATCACATAGATCTACGAGCTTCTGCCTTCTGAGTGCTGAAACTAAAGGCATGCCCCCACCACACCAAGCCATGCTTTTATATATGGTGTAAATGACATCATAATTCCCCACCCTACTGTCTTCCTTCTTTTTGCTCTTGCTTTTTTTCTTTTTTTTTCTGAACATAATGTTTTTATTGATTATTTGGTAATTTCACAAAATGCACCCCAGTCACACTTACGATGTGGGATGATGGTCTTCTTCAATGTAAAGATTTGTCACTCTCATTGGTTTAGTAAAATGCTGATTGGAGAGTAGCCAGGCAGGATAGGTAGGGCCACCAGACTAGGAGAATTCTGGGAAGAAGAAAGGTAGAGACACAGTCACCAGTCAAATGCAGAGGAATCAAGATGAGAATGCCATACTGAGAGAAGCTATCAAGCCACGAGGTTAAACATAGATAAGAATTATGGGTTAATCTATGTTGTAAGAGTTTGTTAGTAATAAACCTGAGAAACAAGCCTCGGTGTGTTTATTTGGGACTGAACGGCTGTGGGATGGAGCAGGACAGAAGCTTACATCTACATACTCACTTTCTTTGGAACTTCTTCCAAGTAGGGTATTTACATCATAGTGAAAGGGAGGCAGGAAACATGGGATTGGAGAAGAGAAGGGCCATGCTAAGCAATTTGAACACTGAAGTCTACGACAACGAGGAACTAGTTGATATCTTATTGGCAGGGGAGTTCTGTGATGTGAAAGAAACTGTAATGCACATGTGAGTCCTTGGGTGAAGTTTAAGGAAAGAGGATTTTCCTTCTGTCGAGCAGCATAAAACCCTAGATAAAAATGAGAGGGTGGAAAAGAATATGAGGTGTGTGTAAAATGATGGCAATTATCTCTCTTTTTAAACCACATTCTTAGCTATGTCCAAGTTGTAATCAGTCAGGAAACAAAAGTGTTGACTGATTGTTCTCCGTGTTTCCCCCTCTAATTTGAATCAGCAGAGATTTACTGGCTTTTCTTTCTTAACCCATACAAATGCATCACAGATTTACTTCGAATCCTCTATTGCTTACTCTGGAGTTTCTTGGGGGTGATGACGATGTGTTTTGTTCTTTACTTCACATTGATCCAAACTACAGCTCCTGCAAACAGTCAGAAAGTGTGATGCTTGAATGTGAAAGTATGGCCCTATCTACACAGTAGGACAAGAAGACCCTGACATCCCAAGGCTTCTCTTGTTCCTGGAGTCATCAGTAGGTGAGAACTCAGGCCCTGAAGGCTGTAACCAGTCTAGGTTCTACATCTGACCACCATAAGCCAATGCCCACGCCAAGTCCACCTTCTAGGTACTAGCATGATGTTTAGGTTTAGAGAGGGGGCCGAGGTATTTATTCAGTCTGGGCCTTAAGCAATTATGGCCTACCCACAATCACAGGATTCTTGTCTTTCCTGTGTAGCAGTCTGACACATTTTCATAAATGAAGACCAGTTCTTCTGGTTGGAGCTAGCTTCCTTAGCCTTTTCCTCTCCCTTTATGAGGTTCCAAGGAAATGTCCAATTCCTTGGGTTCCATAGCCAATAGTTTAGCTGTAAAGGCAGGGTGAGGGGGTGGTGTTCACACAGTAACTGTTAGAATAGCTTAATTCTTGCAAGGAGGTTTACATTTATTTGTGGGGAGTCCTGAAACAGGCATATAGTCATTCACAAGAGGCCAACACAGACTCTGCTTTGTGGAGAGTAAGCGTATGAGAGGAGGTGATTAGGGTTATGGTGGACAGCTTTCTGTGGAGGGGGAGCAAACAGAAACCCAAGGTCCTCGGTCATGGCCTACCTCTGGTCCACGTCCTGGCTGAAAACTGTACTAAAGATTCTTACTTAACTGATCAGATGCATGTGACTCTAAGGTCCTAACTAGAGGGCCAGCTTCATTAATATAATAGTTGTAGATCAGAATTTAGAAAGAAAGCAAACAATGCATTGTGCAGCAATGTCTGAAGATCATGAGGTTTGCTTTACCTTTCTTTGATTAAAATGCAATCAGCTAGAAGGTAATAAAGAAGCCAGAATGGAAAATCTGTCCTTGAGCAAGCCGAATGGGAAAATAGCTTCATTGATTTATGGGTTGTTCCAGAAGTATCAAGTGTTAACTCTGGAAAATATTTGACTTGCTCTGTCTGAGTAATGTTGGCCACCATCCTTCCGTTGGCATGCACACCTTAGACAACCCATAATTGCACCATTTCCCACCCCAGAATTCCACACAACTTTAATGCTTGAAAAGCGTACCAGGAAATGAGCATGTGAATTCCAAGATAAGAAGCAATAAAATTTTAAATGCCAAATGAGCAATAGAAGGGTAGTTTCTGTGACAAGTAAAGACTAAAAGACAGTTAATAACAATAGTAAATAGAAAACAGAAAGAAAATTTGAATTACAAAAATAGGAAAAATTCTGAGAAGGACATGAGTAGAATGAACCCTGGAAGAGAAGTTGGAATTGTTTTAAGATATTAAATGGTACCATAAGCATTTTGGACTTTGTCCTACATTGGACAACTGTGTAAGTATTTGAAGAAGGGGAAGGGATAACCTTACTCTTTTGGATGTGTTCCTCTGATGAAAAGGTGAACACAAGAAGGGAAATTCGGGAGGGCTGTGGCCATTGGCTGCTGGACTGCCCCAAAGCACCTGTGCTTTAGCTTTTACGATGAAGTTCAAAGTTCTGAGATCAGGAAGACCAAAAGAAAGGCCCTTCTCTACAATTCAGCTTCTGGTGTTTACCCTTGAATGTGCATGCTGTCCTCATTCCTGCTTAATGGCTCTGGTGCTCCAGGAATCCAGGCTTCTCAGGTTTCCACTTTGCATACAAAGTATATGCACTTGGCTACTGGCCCTCTCTCCTCTGTGGCACTAATCATGATGATTGTATAAGCAGTCAAATTCAACTATCCTCTCCTCCAGGAAGCAATAAATACAGGTCCAATCTGAAGGAGACAAACTTCATATCAAGACAAATAATTTTGATCAGATCAGTTTAATGGAGAAGAGGAAAAAGATCATTAAAGTTAAGATTCTGAAACCAAACTCTGAGTGTTAAAATTATGATTCTGTCCTTTAACCTCTGGCCTAGTTTTGGGATAGACACTTGATCATTCTTGGTTCTAATTACTTCACTGTGATTAAATAGTGACACAATGAGTATGCCTGCATTCACCACAGGAATATAAAGTGAATCCAACCTACAATAGTGCATTAGTATTGATATCTCCATAATTAGTCACTTGTGTTATCTTGTAGACACCCCCTGCATTGTTGTAAGTTCTGTTTCCTTTACCCAGTATTTTTTCCTTTCTTGGCTGGTGTCTGCACTCTAGGACCATTTCCCGAAAATATGTATAAGAGAAAGAAATGATTGATGACTTCTACATCACCAGTGTCCTGACCTACCTCCACACTTGAAATTCTAGTAATAAGATCATTTCCTAGTCCGGCGTTGGTGGCACACACCTTTAATCCCAGCACTCGGGAGGCAGAGGCAGGCGGATCTCTGTGAGTTCGAGGCCAGCCTGGTCTACAGAGCGAGTTCCAGGACAGCCTCCAAAGCCACAGAGAAACCCTGTCTTGAAAAACCAAAAAAAAAAAAAAAAAAGATCATTTCCTTTAGATTTTAAAGGCACAGTAAGGTTTAGATGAACTCTGGACTCTCATTTCTAAGACTCTTCTTATTTGACATGGAAGTTGGTGCTATGGCTTTCTGGGGTTCAGAGAGGTTTCATAATATCAACACTGGGCCAAACTCTCTGACTCCCAGACAAGAGGAAAGGAAGGAGTGGTGGCACAGGAAGTGATATTGAAAGACCCTGAATTTATAGAAATAAAATATAAGCTTAAACAGGGAGGGCACCCCACTAGAGAACTTGGAAAGTGAACAAAGGACCCCATCCCAGGAACTGGCCAAACCACAGAATGGAATGTATGGTTTAGCAACCTTAATTACAGAAGGGCTGTAAACCCACAAAAGGCCAATTCCGGACTGCTGACCACCTGTGAAGAACTGACCAGGGCGTCAGAGATGGGCAAACAAGATTCGTGGGAAACAAGGAGATGACAACCACCATTTACTTAGGGAGAGATGATTAACTCATACCAAGGTTTGAGGAATTTACAACGTGTAGGTCAGGAAGACATCTACTTCCCCTGGTCAGTAGTCACATAACCCCCCCATCACAAGATAGGGACCCCTCCCAAAGGCTTGTGGTTTTGTCTTTAAAAGCTGATTGTAACTGAACCTCAGGGCCAATCGGTCTAAAAGCTGACCGAGAGGCCCATCTGCAGATGCCTAATTAAAGCCTCTTGCGTGTTGCATCAATTGGCGTGTGGACTCTTGATTCTTGGGGTGATGAATCCAGCTTGGGGACTCCTCAATTCGGGGTACCCCAACAATATCCTGGCATCTTGACATAGGAGAGGAACTCATAGACACTGTCTCAGGAGAATGCCTGTCCTTTTCCTGGGAAGGGGGAAGGCCACTGCTTCAGTCACTGTTTCCATTTTACTTTACCCTGGTGGTTTTGTGTAGAGAGCTGTGAAGTGCCGCACCCTTAAGATGGTGCTGGCTTCTGCCTTCTGCTAGTCCGACAGCAAGTGCTCTCTGTGATAAACAACTCCTTAAGAGCTCCACCTGTATTTGGTTAAGGCTGGATATCAGGCTTGCTTCCGAGTACATGGACCTATCTGCATGTTCCACGTGGCATACTGGGGTTGGCCGCCCAAGGGCTTTTAAGCTGTGGGTTGGCACTCCCCGGGATCAGAAGATTGTTCAAGGTTCCTGAATAAACTGCTTAAAGAAGAGTCCGAGTGTTGCGTCTTCCTTGCTGGTCAAGGCGGTCGCGACAGTTTTCAATAGAAAAGCAACTAAAGATAAATCCAATCGCCAGATCACACCTCATCAAATGATTCAAAAGAACCTCAAATTGCTCAGAAGAGACCAAAAGAAAGCAGGGAGGTAAAGCCTGGAGTGCATCAATCAGGAAGTGACTACCAAGGGTCAGATTTTCCTGAACATCCTAAACGCAATACCAAGTTGCTTCTTAGTTTAACCAAATGGAGATTAAAAAGAAGTTGATGCCAAATGGGAAGAGGAAAACGCTTCTGGAGGAAATTACTCCAGCAGCTGCTGGGAATGTCCATCTTTCCTCTCTTCCTGGGGTCATCTCATTGTTAGTGGCAGGCACCCCCAAAGTGTGTCTAGTTTCTTCATGGATGCCATTTGTTATCAAACTTAGGGTCACAACCTTTGACCCAGTTCTGGTCTGACCACCTATCCTCAATAGCCAATAAGAAGAGCCAAACCAACAGTGGAAAGCAGAGACCTGTTGAATATGGCCACCTTACAAATGCCTCCTCCAGTTGGTGGCTTGTCTTTCTCCCAGTCTGAGATTCCCGGGGAGATATTCATTTTGGGGGTTAGTTTTCTCAATAGTCTGATAGATTGAGAGATGCATATCTCGTTATTTCTGCCAGGCTGTTTCTAGAGTGTTCTCACTGCTGAGAGGGTCTCTGGTTGCTCTGAGGCACTCAAGGCAGAGAGGTGCTGCCTCTTGGGGTGTTCAAGTCATTACAGGAAGAGATGCTGGTTTAGTTAGTTTGAGTATCAGTCTGCTTTGACTGATGCTTTTCTATGGCTGGAGGTTGTCTAAGCCTGTAAAGGACATTTTCCACTAGGGGTGATACCTGAAACCAGGACCCCGAAGGCCATTAGAACTCTCTCACACTATCTGTCTGACTTATCTGAGAGTCATGTTTGTCTCCCTTATCCAATGTCTAGTGTCTACCTGAGACTAAAACAACATTGACTATTTGGTATAGTCCCTCCAAATCTATTTACTGATTAATCTCCCCACTCCATTCCTTCCATTCACCAAGATAGTGGTGTTGAATGCAGAGGTCTTTGGGAGATGATCAAGTCATGAGGGCAAAGCCTCATAATAGAGATCCTTTCTTTGGGCCCCACTTCCTAAATTTCAGGAAGTCCTTCAGTCTCCCAAGACAGCATCACCCGTGTGAACTAAGCACACACGAGCCTATGAGGATATGTTACATCTGAACTATGACGGCAGCGTGGGAGCAAAACATGAAGCGTGTCTACGGAACTTCAGAGAATTAACCTTCTTTTCTAAGGAACTGAGCTTTCTTCAAAAGACTACAGGCTGATAGCTGAATAAGGGGAAGTGGTAGGACATAGGGAAAACTGCTTTAATACATTTATCATAGCATCTTTGTGTCACCCACAAGTGATGAAAACAAGATTGGATGCCATTAGGAATGAGTGTGGGTGATAACAGTAGCTTTGAAACATGTCACTGAGTTTTTAACATCCCCCCCCCCCGTAGTGAGATAACTGTCCTGAATTTATGAGAACCAAGTGTAAAGCAATGAAGCCACTGCCTCGTGGTGCTAAACACATCAGTGGGAAGGCAGAGCACTCACTGTGTCTAGGAAGAAAGGTCCCTGACATGGGAACCAGCAAGTGTCAGCCAAACCATCTTCAGTATTTGTTTTATAGGTAACCATTTACTTTAAAAAAAATCTTGAGGGAAAGGGAGAGGGACCTGGAACTGACTTGTGAAGCAACCTTGTTTCTAATCTAAATTTAAACTGAAAAATAAGTTTAAAAAAATAAATAAAAATCTTCTTAAAAGTCTTCAACAAGTACATTTTCTGATGATTGGCAGATCAGTACCCTAGTTCTGGTTTTCATTCATAGACACATGTGATAATAGGAATTATCATAAATGGAAGAAGCAAAGCTTAACTTTATATGCAGTTTGAAGTTCTGTTGCCTGGCTGAAGAAAATTATGAAATGCATTTGGTGAGAGATGTGTAATTCTGGATATGAACTCTATGCAGTGTTACCTGATTGTGGAGGTCCTGGCAATTTTTAAGATGTAGTGTGATAGTGTGATGATTGACATGTTCACATTCTGAGGTGAAATGCAGTTTACTTTCAAATGAAGCAGTGGCAGTGGACATGATGGTATTGCTTGTACTGGTCTGAAATCCTCAACATGACTGAATATGCAGAAAAAACAAGAGTCTCAACCTCATAAGCATAAAATCCAGAATCCAGAGCAGTCCAAGGAGCCTTTAGAGTGGCTATGTGAGAAAATACATCTTTTTTTTTTTTTTTTTTTTTTTGAGACAGGGTTTCTCTGTAGCTTTGGAGGCTGTCCTGGAACTCACTTTGTAGACCAGGCTGGCCTTGAACTCACAAAGATCCGCCTGCCTCTGCCTCCCGAGTGCTGGGATTAAAGGCCTGCGCCACCAACGCCCGGTGAGAAAATACATCTTTTTAACACTTCATTTTTTTCTGGTTGAAGAAAGGGATTTTTAACTATTTTTATATGTTTGAATGTTAAATTTATAAATGTACCTTTGTACATTTTTAAGAACCTTCTTAGCATAAATAGTAAAAATGTAGAAGTAGATACGTTCTGAATTTTTTAAGTGATTTTTGTTTTATTTGTGTGGTGCTCTACCTGCATGTACATATATACACGCACGATGAACATGCAGTACAAAGCAGTGGCCAGAAGAGGGCATCATATCCTCTGAAAATGGAGCTACAGACAGTCCTGCGTTGTCTTGCCTTTGCTGGAATTCAAACCGTGTGGCAGCCAGTGCTCTTAACCACTGAACCATCTCTCCAACTCCCAGTACATTTTGTATTCTTATGTAAACTACTAGCATTTAAAAAACCCTTAGCAATGATTAACTAACATCGCAGTTTTTATTTCTCACGTTATTGCATACATTGTCGCTAACTGCTCTTCAATTACTTGAGATATTCATATCTATAAAAGAGCTGAAGGTCGCTCAGAAAACAACAGTATTACTATTTTAATCCCCAGGTTCATCTCACCTGGCTGTAAACTTTTCTTCTGAAAGATTTAATTGTATTTGAGTCAAAGGTAAAATGATTAACTGGGCATTAAACTAGGTTCAATTTGAAAATAAATCGTGAAGATTGTTAACATGAACATAAAGATGTGATGCACTAACTCACTGATCTTTATATGTAGGGGTGATTCAAAGATTCCTAGGAGAAAAGCAAGAAGTTGGCTATGCATTTCATTTTCTTGTTTTGGTTTAAGTTCAGCTTATTTTATTTTCTGGGCTTTTGAAAGACAAGGCCACTGAGAGTAATTTGAAAGGAAGAAAAAGAAAGAAAGAAAGAAAGAAAGAAAGAAAGAAAGAAAGAAAGAAAGAAAGAAAGAAAGAAAGAAAGAAAGAAAGAGAAAAGAAAAAGGCCGGCGACTGAGAGTAATTTGAAAGGAAAAAAAAAAGCCGGCGACAAGGGGCTGCTTGGCTGGTGTCATTTAGAAGTCATTCTTTTTGCATAGCATAAAGCATCCTCGACCTCTATCTTTACCATTTCTAATGCTCTCCAAATACAGGTATGGAAAGTCACTGTCTGTAGGATCAGTATGCTGACTCAGCATTCAAAGACTCCCAATGGGAAGCCCAGTAGGCCAGAGGGACCTAGGCCATCTGACCCTCGCTGTAGGGCTTAGGGTCTTCCACCAGCGTGACAGCCTCTGGTCCTCATGAGGCCTTTTCATCAGGACAACTACCCTGCAGATGGTGCCAACACTCCAGGAAAGTAATGCTGGGAGGGCAATCGTCACCTAAACTGCTTGACCTCTGTATTTTCTTTCTTCCTTCCTTCCTTCCTTCCTTCCTTCCTTCCTTTCTTTTTTTTTTTTTTTTTTTTTTTGTTTTTCGAGACAGGATTTCTCTGTGGCTTTGGAGGCTGTCCTGGATCTAGCTCTTGTAGACCAGGCTGGCCTCGAACTCACAAAGATCCGCCTGCCTCTGCCTCCCGAGTGCTAGGATTAATGGCGTAAACCACCGACACCTGGCAAATCTCTGTATTTTCAAGAACCCATGACCACACTTCTGGGTGAACAGGATAAAGTGAATGGAATCGTCTCTCTTTCAAACGGGCATGAATCCGGGTGTTCCTCGCTGGCGTCTCCTCTTCTAACCTTGATGACTTCATGCTTTTCACCCTTACGCTTCTGCAAATCCCTGAGTCACGCTCTGTTTATGTTGTCTCAGTACCAACTCCAGCCCAGATCCAAAGGAAAGGACGCCAGAGCGGGGAGGAGCAGCTGGGGTGGAGAAGCCAGGCCAGCCACGGGTGCCAGGCAAAGGTCAAAACGCAAGCACGGGACATTTCAGCGTGGGCTACAGATCTCGTGATGCCTGGCGCCTCTCCTCCATCAGACTCCTGATCCCATTGCTCTGGAAACAGCTGGATTTTCTTCCTGTGTGTTTGTTTTGGGCACCAAGCAAGAACCATGAAGGGGAGTGAAGAAGACATTTGTTGGGGCATTCTTGGACTGAAAGATATATTTAACATGAAATCACAAAAATAAAAGACTAAACACATAGTTTTTATTTTCTAGAGTGATATAGAAAAGCTTAAGCGTAAATGGCACACACACAAATAAATCAATGTTTCCGTCCACCCCTATCCAGCAGATCCTTCGTGCCGGGGGCGGGACGGGGGCGGGGCTTCGTGATGTCACAACGCCGCCCTGGTGTTTTTGTGTTCCCTGCTCTAGGGAAAAGCCACCCGCTTGCTTTACCTGGTGGTCCTTTATCTTCGGGCCGGGAGATATCCAGGTCCCTCTCTGAACGTTTGGCCACACAGTGCGGCGACGGGCGCGTGGGAACTGACGCGGGTGGAGCGATTGTGATAAGGTTGACATTGACCGGGGGTGGCCAGACGCGAGACGCAGTCACCAGCGCGCGCAGCAGGCCCCGTCCGGGGAGCCCCCAAACCTGAGGTCCATCATGAAGTTCCAGTATAAAGAGGACCATCCCTTCGAGTATCGGAAAAAGGAAGGTGAAAAGATTCGGAAGAAATACCCGGACCGGGTGCCGGTGAGTGGGGGCGGGGAGAGCTGGGAAATTCGGGAGCCGGTTGTCCTGGAGCTGGAGGGCAGCCTGGCACTGGCGGGTGGCCTGGAGCCGGGGCAGAGGAGGTAGCCTGGCACTGGCGGGTGGCCCTGGAGCGGGGGGTCCCCGGAATCCCATAATCCTGACCGGCTTCGACAAACCCATATTCCCAGGACCAGTGCCTACCTTTGGCATCTCGAAAGCGCAACCTGCGTGGTGGGTGACTCAGCAGGATTCAGCTCTCCCGGAGGTGGGGAATGTGCGCTTGGCGCGGCCTGTGTGTGCGGGAGCCACTGGTTGGGGGGCCCCAGATCGGATGCGCTTATAGAGAACGCACCGCTACCCTGGAGCGGCAGGTGCGGCGAGCCTTGTGCCCATCCGTGTCTGCCTGACGTGGTTTTCTAATGAATCCGAGCTTCGTCCTCATTTCCTTGAGCGTAGGAGGGAAAAACTTGAGACGTCAGTAGATTCTGCCCTGCGTTTTCTTAGAATTAAGAGTCAGGCGGAGGAGCCGCACCTGGCGGGCCCGCAAACAAGGTCACTCTGCGCCACAGCTTGCTTCATCATCGTTAGTGTGTCCCTGGCCATGCAGCGCTAAAGAGGGCCTTGTCCTGCACTGCTGATGTGTTGGCCCCTTGGACCCCAAGAGCCAGGACTGAGAACCATTTCCTCCACGAATTATACCCCGATATAAACGGCTAAAACCTGGTTGATGCTTGAGGAGAAAAATAGTAAGGGAGTCTTCAGCATCCGGGTGATTTTCCCTTTGCCCCCCTTCCCCCCGCCCACTTGCCTGTTTTTTCTTCTCTTTTAAAGGCTGCGCAGCAGAATTGGGAGCGGAGGACGACCTTGCTGTTAGATATGGTGGCTAGAGGAACAGGGACTTTTAAAGTCGCTCTCTTTAGCTGTACGGGCAATGATGCTAGATTAGCATTACTCGTAGCTTTAAAGGGTAAAAGAGCCGGGCTTACCTAATAATTTTTCTTGATGCATAAGTACTATTTTGGGGGAGGGTTTTTTCCTCCCTCAGTCCTCTCATCTGTGGGTAGCAAAAGAAATGTAGGACCAACAGGGAAGAGTCCTCAGCCCCATTTCCTGTTAGGAAGGGGAGGGTTAACTATTCCACTGCTCTCCGGGAATTACACACCAGGGTCCTTAGGGAAAGGCTGGAAACACACTAGCCATGTCTTCTTAAAACGAAGTCCTTCACATGTTTTTACCATGGGGGATTGCCTTCCAAATTTCTTTCGATTTGTCACCCCCTTAATATTTTAAAATGACACATGGACCACATAGCTGGCAGCACTCTGAATGCCTTGTCTGCATATTCACTGACTGGCCTCACACCATTAAAATCCATGTGCTAGAGACAGAAGCTCCAAATACAGGAAGTGAGGTCACCACCCAGAACTCTGACATTGCTGGCTGGCAGGGAGGTATTTCAGCCTGGCTGCCATGTGCTGGGCTTCCAGAGCCCTTGACCTTCAGGTTGTCCCGTTTCCCAGCTTGTAGTACAGTTCGATTAACCAGAATTAAGTGCACACCTTACGTGGGTGAGCCCTGGAAGTAGGTTAAGTCTTGCTACCATCTGGAGTTCAGCCGGTAGGCCAGTGCCAGCCAGGAAACATAAGTGAATGTCTACCCATTATTCAGAACTTTAACAGAAACACAAGCTGTGGCGTGTACCCGTCTCCAAATTCATTTAAAACCCTATATTTTCTCAAATGAGCCTTTCTCGTTCACTTGGTTACTGCACTCACCCAGGATATTTTAGTTTCTCCTTATTCTTCTCCTACTTATGACTTGATGTTGAATGTTTTATTTCAGTGATAATTTATAAGCTAAGAAAGGTCACTCAGATCTCATGGATCCTCATCCTGAGAGATTCTCCACCTATGGCTCTTATCCTGTTTGGGACAGAAGAACTCTGCTAAATGGCAGAGATTTGGGTTGGGGTGGGCAGCGCTGGGAATGGAGACCTTCACCCAGTGCCCCCTCTGTCACTGAATATACCTTTATCCTCATAGACATGGTTTTGTTTGAGTCTTGTAACCGGAGTTCCTGTACCTTGGGCACAGAACTGAATCTTACTATGCCCAGGTGTTTATAGAAAAGCCACTAAGTGTCTAAGGCAGTCTGAGTCACAACTTAAGCTTGGCCTCGGAAGAGGTATGCGTAGGCCTTGGGAGAGGGGATCATGGGATTTTGAAATAACAAAGTGTTGGAAACCTGTAATAGCAGGAACTGCTGGACACACTATTTTTAAGCATTTGTAAATAACCCTATGGTGTATGAACCACCTGCCACAGATGGAGAAAACAGTTTTCTCTATTCTTGGAGGGAGCTGCCAGGTCTCAGAGTAAATGTGGTAGATACCAGGCCTACCCCCTGCTTCCTGTGCACCGCCGTTATAACCTGTCGTCTCTCCTTCCTTGTGTTTTGGTCCATTACTAGTCTACTTTTCGAGTTCTTTTCTGTCTAATTTATAGGTTTGGATTCACCTCTGTCTACCCAGGAATTTACGTGTACTTATTCATATGGTCTTTGGGGATGCAGTTTGTGGTGCTGATTTGTATGGTCTTTTGGGGGTTCTACTTGTTCAGAAGCCCAGAGAGGTCACAGACATCCTGAAGGTCACACAGCTTCTAGGGATACTTGTCCAGTGTCTGTTTCTGCTTCTTTGCTTTTTGGTAGCTCCCATTTCTCATATCTGAGATGAGTTCTTCAAAACAAAGTAGCTAATGTTGATATTCGTGCAATATATTTTCTGTTTTCTAAGTAAATATATAAACATCTCAGATGCTGGGTGGTGGTGGTACACACCTTTAATCCCAGCACTTGGGAGGCAGAGGCAGGCGGATCTCTGTGAGTTCAAGGCCAGCCTGGTCTACAGAGAGAGTTCCAGGACAACCTCCAAAACAATACAGAGAAACCCTGTCTCGAAAACCAAACAAAAAAAAAATGAATCTTTAAACATGTTATTAAAAATCCTTAGTGGAGATACTGAAAGTCCCTTAAAATCCTAATATAGTTAATAATGCTGAATGATTCAGTACATTGCCCTCATAAAGTGTCACTTATTATAAAAAAATTCATTTTCACTTAGTGGTGAACACGTCTTTTTGCAAAGATTAAAATCTGAGACACAATGCCTGTGCATATTAGCTGTCACTGTAGCGATGTCAGAGACAGTCAACTTGACGGCAACTGGCTTCAAAAGTCTTTGTGCTCACTTGGCTCCATTCTTTGGACTGGTGGTGAGTCAGCCCAAATCATGGTGGATGCACTAGAGGGTTCGGTAACCTAAAACCCCCATGAGGCCCCACCCCTTAAAGTTCCCACCATTTGTTCATAGCACCAAGGTAGGAGAACTTCTTTATTTAGCATAGGGGCTTTGGAGGCATTGGAGATCTAAGCTATAATGTCACATCTGTAATACATGCTGTTTCCCCCTCTGTGTGCGTAAGGGTGTGCACATGTGAGGGGGCATGTGTGTGATTGTGTGCCGATAAGCATGCATGTGGAGGAGGCCAGAGGTTGGTGTCTGGCACAAGTCTCGGTTGCTGTTGACATCACTCACTGAGAACACAGAGCCTGCCACTTCATTTAGTCCAGCCACACAGCTTGGCCCAGGGATCTCCAGTCTCTGCCTTCCCAGCACTGGGAGCCTACAGCTCCTCCAGGCATTTGCACAGATTTTAGGGATCGGAACTCACTCATCACACTTTCACGTATAGTGCTTTTACCATTTTAGAGAAAAAAAAATAAAACTAATAGGTCATTAGATTATCTTAGAAACACAGAACGGCTTTTTGATTCTTTAATAAAATACCATAAAGTAAATGTCTCTTACTGTTCTTTATAAGGTAATTTGTAGTTACGTAAGATCAAGGAACATTGGAAGCAAGGACTGAAAAATTGCATTGAGCCTAGATTGTGTGGGCAAATTTAAGCTGTGGAAGGAAAAAGGCAATAGTAGGCTCTGCAGTTTTCATCCCCTCTCCTGTTCTCCTTCTAGGTCATCGTGGAGAAGGCTCCTAAAGCCAGGGTCCCTGATCTGGACAAGAGGAAGTACCTTGTCCCCTCTGACCTCACCGGTAATGGTCTTTCCCACTTCTGACCCTTCATTCCAGGCAGAGCAGTTTCGATCTGTGTTTCAAGTCTAAGTTGGTGACTGAGGGTTGTAGCTGTGCATGGCTTTTTCAGGGCGCTGGTCAGTGTGGCTAGGCACGCTGTGTCCTTCTGTTTCCAGTTCTGTGTGGTATTTCTCAATATCTTACTTATGGGCCTTATTCGTGGAGACAAAACAAAGCAGCACTCTGGAGTATAGGAACAATTGTCTGTAATGTACACCACGTGAAAACTCAGCCTCGGTGATCCTGAGGTCGACTTGTTCCAAGGCCTCAGTGATCCTGAGGTCGACTTGTTCCAAAGCCAGCACCATGTCTCCAGAGGATCACATTTTAGATTCATATCTAAAGGCTTTATCTCTCAATCGTATTTCTGTTTGGGGTATAAAAACTGCAGACCCTAGCATATCTTCTGTTTTCAGTTATGTGTATTTAGACTTTACCTTGTTCTTAATGAACTGCCATCTGGATACTCTCGATTGATTCTTTTAGATAAGTTTGCTCGGAGTTTGTGCATTTGTCTGTCAGCCTTCCAGAAGCTTTTCATTGTTTTCAGGGAGAGGCTAAACACTGAATGTGCTCATTGCCCTGACACTTGCCCCATGATTCTGGGTTGTCCAGAACCCAGCGGATCTCTCCGAAGTGTTAGTTCTCAGGATGGGGATGCTTCGATCTGCATCGTACTCCCCACAGTAGTCATTATGCTAATGTTGGCTCTGAGGCTGAGTTAGGAGGAGGGGAAGCAGGTCCACTGTGGTGTGTCAGGGACTGTACAGGTCTCAGTTTTTATATTGCCACTAAAGCTCTGGGAGAGTATTTGCGTCTGAAAAGCTTGTACTTAGCCTAAAGGGGATAGAAACAATAGATTCTGGTTTTCCTGAGATACCCTCTTTTACTAATCCTTTTTCTTTTCTTGCCCTGCTCTCTGTTTGCTTCATGTAGTTGGCCAGTTCTACTTCTTAATCCGGAAGAGAATCCACCTGAGACCTGAGGACGCCTTATTCTTCTTTGTCAACAACACTATCCCTCCCACGAGTGCTACCATGGGCCAGCTGTATGAGGTAATGGTTTTGGTCACAATACCCAGCAGCCTGGCATCCCCTAGCTCTGGTTCCAGGGTTTGCTAACACACCTGGGAAGTAGGACAGGAGGTGTTGTTTATGGGGATCATCTTACCATGGCAGTGTGTAGCGGAGAGATTGGATACCCCGTGTCCTTTCAGGACGGAGCACTGTCTCGCTTTAATCTTATGAAATCTTTCGATCTTGCCTGAGTATAGTGCTTTATTGCAGGCTTGAGTAGTTCTCAGGAGCAAAGGATCACCGGGAGCCCATCACTCTATTAATTTCTCTGGAAGCACAATTTTAGGGACCTGGGCACCCCACCTGCTTGTCAGTCATCCCCATCTAGCAGTAGACTTGAGAAAGGAAACACCAGCTATGCTTGACCCCTATGGAGTCTGAACCTGGAACTCTGGCATCACAGTAGTTCCCATATTAACTCTGGATTTGGCTTATGACAAGCACATTCAGATGCTCCTCTTTCTAGAACAAACCTAAGACCGCGAAGAGTTCCCATTATCTGTGTGCAGTAAATGAGCTAAAATGTAAAGTTAAGGTAGAATTTGATTGGAGAAAAAACTGTAACTAGGACTTTGTATATAAATGATCTAAGATTGTAACTGTATTTCTCCTTGAACACTAACTGTCACACAAGATGCTGCCTTCCCATTGAGCCCCATTAGTAACATGCACATCTAGTAGCCCCTGGTCTAGCCCTCATTCCCCAGTGTTCATTCCTTGTGAGCATGCATGTCAGTGTGTATTTTGTGATATCTGTGCTCTCCTTGCTAGAGGGATGCTGGAATGAAGTGTTTTTCTTTTCTTTTTTGTTTTTGTTTTTAGTGTGGGTGTGTGCACACGCACGCGCGCACCGGTGGAAATCAGAGGACAAGTTAGGGTGCCATCCTCAAAAATACTCTGTCTTCCTCGAGACAGGGTCTCTCATTGACTTAGAGGATACCAATAGGCTGCCCTGGCTAGCCAGTGAGCCTCAGGGATGCTCCTGTCTCTACCTCTGCAGTGTTGGATTGAAAGCTCGCTCACAGCACCACACATGCCATTGTTATCTGGGTTCTGGGCACTGGCTGGACTCAGGTCCTCTGGGCTTGCAAGGCAAGTGCTTTACTGACTGACTCGTCCCGCCAACCCAGCCGTGGAATAATATTGTTTTCCAAGATAAAAAATTATTTCCCAACATTTTGTTTGTGAAAGCTTTGAAAACATGCCCAGTAGGTTGAAAGAATTTTACCGAAGGTTCTATAGCTGACATTGTACTGTACTTGTTTTTTGACTTTTGTACTTGTACATATCGGAGACCTCCTATTTCCATTTTTTTTGCTCAACCAATGTCATTAAGGTCATTTCTTCCACACCATTCCCTGAAGTTTGGAGGGGACTGTTTAGATAAACCATGTGTGGCCAAACATTAATCATTTATCATCTGCAATTTGGCCAGCTATTAGGCTCTGTAGTCATCACTGACCACTGCAAAAGGAAATGTCCGTGACTAAAGCTGACCATAGAAAAAATGTTTTCTAAGAGTAAGGCTTACTTAGTTATTTTTCTGCTGTTGATGATACAGTATGTTCTCTATGAAACTTAAGTTTGTGAAGTCAGAGCTCAACATGTAGTTGATACCTCTTAGTCTTTGCTCCATTTTCCCCCCCTTTTTCCCAGCCTAGAACTTGAACCCAAGGCCTCCCACTCTCTAGGCTAGTGCTCTACCACTGGGCTGTGCCCCCAACCTTCTTCCATTCTTTGAATGGGGGCTGATGATGACTTACAGGTCTCCTCTACAAGGTTGTTCAAGACTCGGAATCACAGAGACAATGAACATGAATGCTAATGTTTTCTGAATTGCCTTCTTGTCTCCTCATTTTAGGACAACCACGAGGAAGACTATTTTCTGTATGTGGCCTACAGTGATGAAAGTGTCTATGGGAAATGAGGCCGAAGCCCAGCAGATGGGAGCACCTGGACTTGGGGGTAGGGGTGGGGTGCGCATGGGACTTGGGGAACCAGAGGGAGGAGGGCTCCCAACCATGGAGGAGACGCAAGGTGAAGACATCGGAAAACATCACACCGCACACACTGTCGTCTTTCTTTCACAAGCTCAGTTGTTAGTTTTCTCTGCTTCCTCAGCCCAGGAAGCACTCGTGTCGGCTTGGCTGTGAGAGCAGGATGGGGATGGCGCTGCTCACGGCTTTGCCATGGATTTTGGTGCAGTTTCAGCAGATGGTTGTGAGGAGGGCAGGTGGCCACTAGAGAATGCAGCTCAGCAGCGACTCCTGTCTTTTTGGGCAGATGTTTGGTTTTTGGCATTTGCACAAAGCCACATAGGGAAAGGGGGAAAATGCTTTAGGAGCTGTAGGGGACCATACCTAAGAGACCAAAAAATACCTACTGTCGTTGAAGCATTGTGACCCCTGACCTCTGTCTCTTAATCCCTCCCTCTCCTGGTCCTTTTCTTCCACACAGGTGTCACAGCACTGCCCCTGTGGACATCTGCACCAATGTTTAGATGGAGTCTTCTTGGGAAATAGGATTTGCGGGGATGTGGTTATGATTGCCAGTAGTTTGGATGGCGTTAAACTGGAGTTCAGGGTTGAGCATCTCTCCTCTTCATCCCTTAAGTACCTTAGAATTTCATGAGCCTCAGGATCAGTCCTCTAGCATTTCCTTCAGCTTTGTCGTGTACAGGGACAGAGTGTCTCCATACGGAGTGTCCGGGTTACAAGGTAAGCTAGATTACACACCTGCCACCAATCCTCCCCCTGCTGTAGGCTCTGGAGTCTCACCCGCACTGGAATGCTAAGGGATTGGCCAGCTGTTTTCCCTTCATGCCATCTGCTCTTCAGAAAAGATGGAGCGAGGACTCCAGCGTTTCATGGGGATTTTACTCATCAGTTTCATTTAGGGGCTATGTGGGGAGCGGGTGGGAGCAGGAACCGCATTCACACATGACATTTCAGTTCATCTCTACAAATGAAGAGCGTCCTCTCTGTTGGGAGCAGTCTGTATGTCTGCTCTATCAGCTGCAGGTTCTGATACTTTGAAGTCAATGATGTCAGGCCAGGGAAATAAAATAATTGCTTACCTTAAAAATCCACCTGAATCCAGGATTATCACTTTTTTTTTCCTTTTGGTTTGCATTTGAATGAAGGTTATGCGGACACTTGAGTTTTCAGAGGGTTGGCAGTACCTAGGGTCAGCTGTATTAGTCTTCATTTAATGGTTGCCTAGGAGTGAATGTTACAGTGTAGTATGCCTGGTGTGTTTCTGTGTGCATGGTTTGCCAACTGGCGTCTAAGTGCCCATTTGCTTCTTCATGTGTTTCTCAAAGCTAAAATCTGCCAACCTCACAGTGGAGGGCTGGTGTGGACTGTGCTAATTAGGAATGCAAATGTCTAGGCCTCGTCCTAGATTTGACTGGCAGCTGTGTATGCCACTAATTAGGAACACAGGCCTCAGACTCTGCTGAGTTTTCAAGTCTGATTTCAACTCCAGGCATCACTTCGGGTCCCAAACACAACGCATTCTCTCCATTATGCTTCACAAGAAGCCAACATCCTCCAGAGCAGGAGACAGTATGGCTTGTGGGGTTGTGACAAATTCAGTGTCTTCTGGTTGTATGTGGGTCTGTCAATGAGTCAGCCGCGTTGTGGGGTTGGAAATCATAGGGAACAAACATCCAGGTCATGAATGAAGAACTGTCAGTCCCGTTTCTAACCCTCTGATTTCTTGTCAACTGCACACCTAGGTGGTGGCTCCCGCTTTATCGTTAAGAAGAGCGGTTGAGCCACTAAAATTAGGGAGTCATAGAAGAAAATCTATGCCAGGATTCTACCAACTTGCCCACCAGACTGATGGAGAAAATTCAGTTGGGATTGAGAGGAAAGGGAATCCTGGACTAGAAAACAAAAATTTCTAAAAAATGGAGATGGTTTGAAGTTTTCCATCAGTACATTGAAAACAGACACCTGTGGCTACAGAAATGGCGTTGTGCTATTACCTGACATAGCCCAGAGGAGGCTGACGCTTGGGCTGTTGAAAGCTCTTTTGTAGTCTAACCCACCACCATAGGACGCACAGCAGAGCCTGCTCCCTCTGGGCTCATCTGAAACACAGCAGACCTTTGCTGAACTGGACCTTCAAATTCAGAGACTGTCTCCCAGAAGGTCCTGGCTTTTTCTAGTCCCACTTTGCTGGATTTTTAAGATGAAAAAAAAATTATTGGATAGGACATTGCTATTTTCGATGAGCACCATTTTACAGATGCATAAGTTTAATTTACTTGGCTAAGTTTAGCCCCAGTGGCCTGCTTAGAACTTGGTTCTGTTTCCTCAACACAGTATCTTAATACCTCAGTCTTGTCTGCTTAACCCCTTCAGGGACTTGTTGGCTTCCTGTGAACTGAAAGCAGCCTAGGAAATGTCCTGGCAACCTGGGCTCTATGTTCCATGTCACATCAATTGGCTAGCTCCAGATCGCTCCATCAGGGTGGAGTTTAAATGATGCACCAAACAAATCATTCTTTTCTTTGGAGGCCATGTGACCTCAGCGTCACAGACAAGTCTAGTTTTGTATTTCCCGGAAAAGCTCTGCAAGGGTAAGCTTGGACATTTGCCAAGGGCAATTTTCTTTCTTATGACCGTTTCTTTCACTTGCTGCTTCAGACTCAGTGGCTAAAATGGCTGGTCAGGCCGGGCGTTGGTGGCACACGCCTTTAATCCCAGCACTTGGGAGGCAGAGGCAGGCGGATCACTGTGAGTTCGAGACCAGCCTGGTCTACCGAGCGAGTTCCAGGACAGCCTCCAAAGCCACAGGGAAACCCTGTCTCAAAAAACCAAAAAAAAAAAAAAAAAAAAAAAAAGCTGGTCAGCCTCCTTATCATTAGAGTAAAAGTCTCCATCAACAGTGGTGCATCCAGGCTGTGCACACAGTGGGGAACACAGCCCTTGGTGAGTGGAGACTAGATGGAGAATTCTGTTTCTGAATACCAGAATGTAGTTTTACAATGTTAAGTAATGCAAGTGATGGGGCTGATAAGTATAATACCTGGCATGCGGACAGCAGCCTCTAGATGACTCCGGGGTCATGTGCTGTTTCCTGGGCACTGCCCTGACCCATGGGATGCTACCTTTTGGGAATATTAACATGAAGATTATAATTCCGTATATAATAACCAGGAGATGATTTTGAAGATGTGTGGCACAGTAGTTTTGATGTACATGTCTGGGGAAACAGCAAATCGCCTTTGATAATGAAAGTATGCAGACATTCTGGAAAGTAAGATGGTTAATAATTCATTTTTATCTAGCTTTCACTTTGTAGTTTGTTTCTCAGTGCTGGGCGTGAACTCACTGCCTCATATGTGCTTGGCAAGTATTCTGTCACTCTATGCAAACCATTACTCAGATATCTCTGTATTTTTACTTGACAGATTTAAACAAGTACCAAGGGCTCATTTACATTACTTTTTAGATGTGCCAACCCACTCAGTGTTTTCAGAAGCTGATTTTTTTTTCTTGCTCCCTTCACTTGATCTGAAGTAAGTTGTTTCCTCTGTGTACCCTGAGTAATTATTTTCTTCCTAGGTGGTGCTTGTTACCTGTCTACTCCCTCTTTGCCTCAATATTATTTCAGTGCAAGTTATATAATCAATTCCAGCCTGTAGCTTGTTCTCTTGGAAACAGCTTGGTTTTTTTTTTTTTTCAGCCTAATAATAGGGCCAACTAGCTAACTAATGAAGGAATGACACAAATAATCGTAGCCTCTACTCCCAAACTTGGAGACTTTTATTGTGCATTTCATTGCCCCACTGCGTTATAGGCCCTACCTCTAATAGTTCCTACAGTTCTGGGCACTTCGGTCCTTGGTAAACACATGACCAGAGCGGTTCCCAAGGGTGAAGTAGCAGGAAGTGGTCACCCTGAGAAGTAATTGCATGATGCATTTTACCATGCCCGTGGCAGGCAGGCAGTTTTCAGTGACTGGTGAATTGTGAATGTTCGGTGTCATGGGGCCGTCTATACTGCAGTCCTGTTTGAAACCACAGTGCCTTTAAGATGCTTAGGACTTTTATTTAAAGTTACTTAGCTTCATGGCCAGCAGGATGGCTCAGTGGGTAGAGGCAAATCCTGCCAGGCTTTGCAATCTGAGTTTCATCTCCAGGTCTCACGTGGTGGAAGGAGAAAACTGACAGTGCATGCACGGATGCACACACACAGGCATACACACATGCATACACACAGGTACACATGCATGCACACACAGGCACACACGCATGCATACACACAGGCATACACACAGGTACACATGCACACACAGGCACACACGCATGCACACACAGGCATACACACAGGCACACACGCATGCATACACACAGGCATACACACAGGTACACATGCACACACACAGGCATACACAGGCACACGCATGCATACACACAGGCACACACACAGGCATACACACAGGCACACACACAGGCATACACACAGGCACACACTCATGCACACACACAGGCACACATGCATGCATACACACAGGCACACATGCATGCACACTCAGGCACACATGCATGCATACACACAGGCACACATGCATGCACACACAGGCACACACGCATGCATACACACAGGCACGCACACACATGCACACCCTTTAATAAGATTACTTAGCTCCTAAGCGTAAAATGATCCTGAGAATCTATGGATACATAATTTCTGGATTGAAACACATTTGTTTTCCTTCTTGGAATACATTTTACCATATCTCCCTGTGACAGTGCCACACTTAAATTCTATATACTTAGTTATTATTCACTTCTATTGCTCCTCCCTGTCACCCCCACTTTCTCCTTCCCCCCTACATTCCTCTAGTCCCCTTTTCACTCACACCCACACTCTGCCCTAGATTCCATGTTAAGTGCATCCTTACAAAGTTTGCCTACGACTGATGTCAACAACTTAGCCCTCAGAAGTCTTCTCCCAAGTCACTTAAACAAACAAAGAAGAATCATTATTAATGGAAAGTGCAGGATGTAGCAAGGTTGGGGAAACTGAGGCAGAGTTTGCTAAAGTAGGCATCTAGAAAGACTTGATGTGAACCTACTCAGTGCACACTCTTTCTTAGACCCCCCTCGTCCCTGCTGATTCTCTGCATTAGTACCAGCTGCTTATCCTCAAAGGCGTCACTTGAGGTCCTTTTCCCACAGGAGTCTGTGCAACCTAGCTCTGAGACGCACTAAACTGGCATTGTTTCACCCCCACTGGGGCAGAATATCACAAACATTCCTAATACTGTCCAGACAAGTATACTGGATGCACATGATAAATAATCAACTTCCACCCTGCAGTGCTCGACACGGCTGGTAAAACACCACCTTTCCAGGACATTGCCCTCCGCTCGGTGTCCTCAGTCCAGAGCTGCTTGCTTGGCAGAAATTCCTTCTCCCATCTGTGCTCAATTTAACTCTCTGAAAAAGCCAGTTACAAAACAGCTCACAATATGTCTTTTTGATTTTTAAAAAGAGATTCTATTTATGTATACCCGTGTACAGGTACCCATGGAGGACAGAAGAGGCCATCAGATCCCCTGGAGCTGGAGTTAACAGATGGTTGGGAGTTGCCTGACATGGGTGCTGGAAGCTGAACTTGGCAAGAGCACTACATGTTCCTAACCACTGAGCCATCTTTCTATCCCCTTTTTACGCCTTCTTGAAATCAACTTGAAAACATTAACTAGCAGGTTCTTCAGGGACCCACACATCTTAATTACCACTGGGCAAACAAGAAGTGAGCTGTACTGGGTTGGGGGAGGTATGGAGAGAGAACCCTTGTTGATCAACTAGGTTTCCAGTTCCCTTGGCGATGCCAGGCAGAAGCTCAGCTTTTGTAGAGGACTGTATATAGAACGTGTGTCACCTAACAATCAACTTCTTTGACAATAAGCCATTGGGTAGATAATGTATTCACTATGGTAAGACGGGGATGCCTAATGTTTTCAAATTATTTGTGTTGAATCCACAGAGTTGAGTTTAAACCCACGTCTCCCTACACAATGCATGAAGGGTCCTCACCATGGTCAAGGCAAATGTGGATGCTTG